GACGATGAGCTGGGCTGTCACCGCTTGGCCGCCGGTGGGGGGTTTGGGAGGCCGCATCACACACAGACACCCACACTGCCTCAACTTACACGAACACACACATACGCAGACTCATTTCCACACGGACATAGATACACGCACAGAAAACCACACACTACCTCAACTCACTCGACTTCACACTTCACACTGCACACTTAACAGATAACTCGCACTCTGACTTCCTACGTGATGAAAAATGCTTTCGGGCCACTCGTCGTCTAGTTGTTTGTAGGTGATGAGAGTGTCTATGCGTGACCATGCTTTGGCTTGCTTTTGTGATTCCCAGTGCTGGGTGCATTTGTTCCTGTGACGTGGTGACTTGCGCTGCAGGTTTTGATCCTCAACTTTGCTGGGAGAGGAGCCGCAAAGAAGAACGAACTCCTGCGATAACATGCAGCCTTGGTGGATGCACAGAGAAGGGCCAACATGGGCAAATGGCATGCAACCAATAACTTGGCAGGTTTGCTTTGATGATTTGAACTAGAAACCTGTTCAACAGGTCTACTTCTACAGACTTGTTGCAGCCTTTTTCAACTCCGGTGTCCAAAAGGACCGGCCTATTTGTTCCCAACGAAGAAGGTCGGACCGTCAGTAGAGTCCAAGCAGCCTTCGCTGAGAGGGAGAAGACAGTAGATCTGAGACGAGGATCACCGGAGATCTCGAGATTTTGTGAAGAAGTCTAGGGGTGAAAAAACGACCAGCTTCAGTTGCCCAGCTTCAGTTGTGGTTTGTCACAGGATCACTGGGTGTTGCCCCGAGCCACTTGGGTTGCTTCAACTAGTCCATTTCAGAGCAACACGGCTGGTAGCTGATGCCTTCGCACCTCGTGTGTTCGATATTGCTTCATGCTCCAAAGGAGAGGCTGGCACTAGGTTTCCCCAAATGCGGACGCGCGTCGTGGCTGGACTTACTTCACGCTCAGCTCTAGCTATTCACGTGTTCACTCATGTTTATTTGTGGCATCGTGTAGCTTGTTGCACTTCTTTGGACAATCCAAACGCCCACAAGAGAATGGTCACAGCTCTGGAACATTTTCCTTAATTGAACATGTTCAAACATACATGAAGATACAACATGATACAAACAGCAAGATGACACATCGCCATGTGACAGCCGCCAAAGCTTCCCACACGACCGGCCACTACTACGGGACACGCCTTTTCGTTTCTGGCCACCGATGCCATGCCAGCGCCCACGGATGAGATCGCTGAGCTGCGGCAGGAGGGGGACAGCGTATGGTGGGCGGGACAGTTGTATGTACCCCTGTCGAACTGTGGAATCCGTCCAACGCCCATCAGTCTTTTTGCCTTTGGCTTGCAGATCGGATGGCTCGTTCACATGGGCAGTCGATCAAAGCACACTGCGTACAGGACGACCGCAAAAATGGTTTTGATTCCACATTGAGATCTTTGTTCGATTGTTTTTGTGTAGCTCAGACCCAGTGGGTGCCGCTCTTTGAAATGGACTGTACACTGCCCATTGACCCTTGTTTGACCGGTGGACCTTCTATATATATATATATATAGTTTGGAGCCTCCGTGAGAGGCGGTGGTTTTTGCTTGTTTCATGGAGGAGACAAACTCTTCTATCACTCGGGGGCATGTGTTGGGTACTAGAAGATGGTGATTCAAACAGGGGGAGTTTGGTCCTCAAGCAGTTGTGAACTTCCAGCTGATTCTGATGTCCGGGGGTTCCGACCCCCCTGGGTCGGACGGTGGTTCGGTTTTTGCGGCGCCTGCTCAGTCTGGAGATCTTTGAGCCAAGGGATGCCAAGGGATACCCGAACCAAGCAGCTCAAAACTCGGGTTTCCCGTCCAGAAGTCAATTCACATGATTTTGTCTTCAAATTTCGTTGACTATTGAGTGGGTCTCATTAGTCTGGACATCGACAATGAGAAACAGTCCTTCTTCTTTCATGACACCTCATGACCGTAGGATTCTGATTCTCCTTCTCACAGCAGTTTGGGGTATGCACTTCGCAGCAGGGGATGGATCCAAAGGATCCAAATCCAACGCCTCCACGGAAGGACCCTGACAGACCCTTCTGCCAGCCCGCTCAAACTGCCACTTCTCCCCCGTTGGACCAATCTCAGCAGGAGATCCTTCGCCTCACCGAGCGCTTGAACAGCTTGGAGTCGCGGCTCGCCTCGTCCCCGGATGCGGCAGGCGCGGCAGGCGCGCCGTGCCGCCCGTCGGGAGGGAGTGGAGTGGCGCTTGGAGGGTGTTTCCCCTGTGACAGGGTCGTAGAGTAGTGATTCCAGTGACTTATAGGGACTTGGTGACGACGACGATGACGATGACCAAGGTCTGCAAGCTGCGTATTTGTGCAAAAATGATCATAAATCATATAGACGAACACAGGGTAAGACTTCTGGAGGGCCTATATAATTGGGTGCTGAGGTTTTCAGGCTTCTGGCCGAAAAACTGATACTGATATTGCTTGAAGATAGTTCCATCCGTCAATATGAAAGGCTATCTTGGTTTTGCTGGTTTCTATTTTGTTTGCCGGCGCCCTGTCCTTCAACTGGTACCAGAACAGAGGTCTCACAGCAGGCATCCAAGTCAAAAAAAACATTGACATGTCACAAGATCGCCCAGCTTCCCGCTTTCAAGCCTCTTGGACACCGAGATGCAAACATGTTAGGATGACAGGACCATCATCAACTTTGGGCTTCTAGGCAACATGGGAACTGCATGCATTTGGATGCCCAAGACAGTTGTGGATAAGTGAAATTCTTATCCAAACGGCGGTCTCTGTTGGCTCATGCTTGGGGTGTCTGTTTTGGGCTTCTCTCCTTCCCCCCCAACCGCGCCGTTCACGTCCCAGCCGTCCCAGAAACCGCCCTTCCGCTGGTCAGGGCAACCGGAGAGCGTGACGGTGACGGTGCCCACCAGCAAGAAAGTGGCTCCCACACCGGAGGAGGATGGCCAACGAGGTTCTGCGGAAGAGGAAGGGGAGGACAAGGAGGTGAAGCTGCCTGGATGCAAAATGATGGAATCTAAACAAAGAGTTGGAAGTGGTTGGGAACCTCCTCGAGTTTTGGTGAGCTTTGAGGTATCAGGCCTTCATTGGATGGGGAGTTGCTTAAGCGGGCAAGTCATCAGTGGCAGACTAGAGCAGGCCTTTCTTTCTGACCGTTTGGAGTTCCAGGTGCATACCCAGAAGTTGAGACGACAAACATGTCTCGAGGAGTCTTCCAAGGCGATTTGTTGGTGCTAGCAGTTCTGTATCTCAGATGTTTTCAAGTTTGTTTCATTTCTGTCACCCCTTCTGACGCCTTTGCTTTTCATCACATTAAAACCCAAGGTCCGTCTTTTGGAAGTCTTTGGTTTCGCTTTCAAGGGCCTGCCATCGGATTCGCTGTGGGTCTTAACATCGCGTCGAGTCGCTCATCGGAGTGGTCGATCGCGTCCATCGACCGTTCGGGTTGAGGCGCTGGGACCCGAGGTTGTGCGAGAGCGCATGGAGCTTATTGGCCGTGGTCGGCTTGACGGATGCCGGGCTGCTGGATGTGGCCTTTTCGACGTTGCTGCTGCTTTTCAACATCGTGATGCAGGTGAACTGGGGTGGGTGCGAAGGAGGTTCAAGGGCTATGCTTCACAAGCTCAGGATATTTAAATGGTCTGTGGGCGGAGATCGTTTCGGCGGAGATACTGTAATTGGAGTGTCCCATTCGTGTTAATTTGAGGCCAAGAGGGAAAGAGCATTAGCTGCTCCTTGTTTGCTCCTCTTTTCAGGAATCCCATTGATCCCTCAAACTGTTCCATGTCATCTCGGTGCTTTTCGCAGTTCGGCTTCATCATGATCATCCTGGACAAGCGATTCCTGGGATCTCCTTTCCGTGACAAGGCTCGATCGATGGGCTTTGAACCTTTCCGGGCCGAACTTCGGGGGTTCAAAACACCCAAGGGGTGTGCTGACCTGGCCATCCTGGCCCCTAATTGTTGTTTCTATCCAAAAGTTCTTACTTGGGAGTTACCTGTTACCTTCATTTTTTCCCTCATCATGTCTTCCAACTTGGTATGAGGTATCAGTATCAGGTATCAGACACGGAAAGACGTGCTTGGGCAATACAGACTCCTTGCATCTACGGCATGTTGCGTCTAGAAGATTTTGCCGGATGCCCATGCCTTTGATGAGCAATGTTAGCCGGAGCTCTTTACTTCCTCTGTGATTTGCCATTTTGGACGCAACGTTTCTGTGTCTCACCATCGTCCCAAGCAGCATTCTAGAAAGCGTGGGGGAACTTACAGACGTGGACATCACCACGGTTTCCTGCTTTGGCCGGCAGGTGCGAGGGTTTGTCCCACTTCTTGGCACAGATCCATCCCCATCCCTACCTGCAGGTCACCCACGCGCAAGATTGGCGGACTCGCTCAGCACACGACTACAAATATCTGGATCTGGCCGATACAAGCTCCCATGCAGCAAACATGCGGGTCATGATGGTCATGGGTCTGTGAACTCTTTACTTTGAGTGGATTTTCTGTACATGAACTCCTGGCAAGTGGGGTAGTTACAGATGACCCGTCATTCAAGCAAAGCCTCTGAGTCACGGAAGAGAGAAGAGAGAAGGAACAGAGAAATACCAGAATAGAAGAAGAGAGAAGAGAGAAGAGAGAAGAGAAGAGAGAAGAGAGAAGAGAGAAGAGAGAAGAGAGAAGAGAGAAGAGGGAAGAGAGAAGAGAGAAGAGAGAAGAGAGAAGAAGAGAGAAGAAGAGAGAAGAAGAGAGAAGAAAAGAGAAGAGAAGAGAAGAGAAGAGAAGAGAGAAGAAGAGAGAAGAAAAGAGAAGAGGAGAGGAGAGGAGAGAAGAGAAGAGAAGAGGAGAGGAGAGGAGAGGAGAGGAGAGGAGAGGAGAGAAGAGGAGAGAGAGAGAGAGAAAGCATGAGGGACAAGAGTTGTTACACTAGTCTCTCTCTCTCTCTCTCGCCAGGTTTTTCCCATTTCCACAAACGTAAACGAGTTTTTGCTTCGTGTGGATTTGTTCCAAAGAGCCTTGTGTTTAGTTTCACGCTGAGAACTGAGAAAGAATTAAGATGTATATATCGTTTCCATACGTCTGGAAGCACTAAACACCTCCTCCGAGTGTGGGTTTGATGCACAAACTTGCCAATGATCCCTTTTTGACTCATTTGCTTTACCTCTACTTTATCTTTGCTATCCCGTTGCACTTTGTTCTCCAAAATCGATCATCACTGTGAACCATATAATATATAAACTCATGAACACATATCCCGGGTACTTATCGAGTTTCATTGCCCTGTCCAAACACGCGTCTCAAAATCCAGATCGACCCTCCAGTCCAAACGGCAAAAGCAAAGCAACATAAAGTCTACAGCAAATCTGTTTCATACCTGGATCTTCCAACCATATCAAAATGCCTGCATGCCAGACTTGGCTGGTTTTAACAGATCAAGAAGGCACACAAACACATATGCCCACCGTTGGAAGATCCGTTTTAACCGTTGCATTCGTTGACACGAAGACCATCTCCGACCGCCCAAGGTTTGGTTTCCCGGGTCTGTGCAGAGGACGATTCTCTACTGGTGCCGCGGTCGGTTTGGGAGGGACCGCCGTCGAAAAGGTCAGGGGGGGAAATGAGAAGTCTGAAAAGCAGAGGTGTGCATCCTCCAGGTTTTGGGTTTTAGTTTGCAATATTTGGGAGGGCAGAATACAATATACTACACACTGTAGGGCTAGTGAAGTGTAAATGGTTTCTGCGCGACTGGGCTTTCAGTGGGGAAGCTTGAAGGTGCCCAACGCACGACCCACTGCGGCTGCCACATAGATGGGAGGGGTTTTCTGTTTTTCTTCTGGCTGTTTTTTCATCGCCAGCCAAGGCAAAACCGGTGTGAGCCAAAGATGCCATCTGAAGAATGTTCACCAAATGCTAATTGCATTGCCAAGTGAAACCACCCAGCAACCGTTAAAATGAAGCGCACATTTTTTGGCTTACACTCCGCAACTGATGCGTTGAAGTGGCTTTGACGTTGAACTGCGCAATCACTTGAGAGAAGGGTGCAGAACCAGGAACCCTAAAGAGCTGCAAAACAACGGTTGGCCCAAATGGATGCAACTGGCAGTTCAAATTCTTTGCGATGGGTGCTGTTGGGAAAGTTTGACACCGCACATAGCAGCCTCGTCATCTCGCCCAGGTGTCTTCAACTCAGGCGAAGTTGATTCAGGACATCAACAAGTTTTTAGGCGGGGAGAAAGACATCGGGGCCTGGCTCTCACACAAGGAGTGCAACCACTCCTGGTGGGACGACCCTCCAGAAGTCGGTCAAACCGATGACGCTCAAACGGATCTCTTGATTCCGAAACCCCAAGGTTGGAGCCGGTGGGGTTCGCCCATGGGAACGGCGCTCGAAAGGACCCATGCAAGTTTCTTTCGGCTAGAATGGCCAGGTCGGAGGGACGGACCAACCCTCCATGTGACAATTCTGCTTTTGTCGATCAGGACTGGTGGGGTATCAGCCATGTTTGTCCAAGACACAAGCCATGTTCTTGGAAGGCTTGCAGAAGGACGACTTCGAGATGCCCTTCTGGCGGCCTGGTGTTCAGCTCTGTCACTCGGCGAGTACTCGTACCATGCCGCTCCGTCGCCCCCCCAGCCACTGACACGAGAGCAGTCGGGAGCGAGCTGTGCTTTTCACCGAACAACCACTGGTCTTCGCACCTGAATGTATAGATCCTGTAAGGGTTCCACCGGTTCCACCAGCATTTTCCAGAGTTCCAAGTTCATCTTCCGGCAAGAACCTTCCTTTTCGAACACAACAGACACCGCCTCCCATGAAGAATCAGGTATGCTTTGTATCATTCTCTACAACCTCTGCGTTTTCAAAGAGCTGCGGACCGTCTTCAACAGTGCCCAAGCCTTGCTCCGTGTCCCTCGCAACGGCGTCACGGTCATGAAGGCCGGCATCGGTCCGGTCCAGTCGATTCGGTCCCAGTCGATCGGTGAGGGCGCCGGCGGCCCATGAACAGGTAGAGCAGGTACTCAGAACCTGTGGTGAGTCTGAGAATGAACATGGGATGGAGATGACGGAGTTGATCAGGCTAGCTATAGCAGCTATGACAATCACTGTGAATATCTCTGATAAACCTCAATGGCAGGCCTGCTGAGGAGGCGAACCTACCAGAAGCCGCTGGGTGAACTTCCTGTTTTCATGGTGGTGAAACTAGAGGTGTAGTATATGTGCAGTTCAACAATGTTCAAGATTCAAGATGGTCGTTCAAGACTCAAGGACTCAATCTTTTTATATCCAGTCACATCTAATATCATTGTATCTATATATATATATAGGCCGACCGGCACACCGCGTGACAAATTGACCGCAACTCACTTCCACCATCTTCCACCACCGGTCGATGACCATCTTCCGCTTCCAGGGCAACAGCTTCAAAACGATCTCGCGCGGACGGATTGGCGTTCTGATGGTGGCGCATGTCGTCGCTGGGCCAAAAGAGTCGGATGGCGGCGCATGTCACAGATAGGTCCGGTTCGTCAAAAGAAGAGTTTTGATACGCAAATCTGAGAGTCTGAGAGGCTCGTTTTTGGAAACCTAATAAATCATCATTCTTCCTATCTCTTGGAAGAGGATGCACTAGTCTATCTATTGCTTCCCTAGAGATAGGAAAGTGATTTGAATTTATCACTTACAGTCACGTGTCTCTATGTTCACTTCTGAAGCTTCAGCGCCCTCCCAAGAATCGAAACGGGCCATAGGGCCCCCCCACCGTGGCGGGACGGTGCAAAGCGTATACAAATGCCAGGTGTTTCACATGTGTTCTCCCTCCGAAACCCAACAACTTGTTCTCGTTGCTCAGAATTGGGGCCTGTCCTCGGACCAGTCGCGGTCTGGATGCTTTGGCTCCGTTGACGCGGCGCCACTGAGTCCGAGGTGCGCGCAGTTCTCGCCATCACATTGTTGATCTCGGGCGTCCAGCGACTGGGATGGCACTGTAGTCATCAGGTTCTTTTTGGTGTCCGAGATCAAGCCACAAGTCTTATATGATATTGATCTGACAACGCCTTCTGGGTCCTGCGATTCCAGACATGATTCTTTTCACATTTCTGTTCACCCCAGAGTTCAACCGCGAAGCCATTCATGAAGAGGTTTATATAGGTGGTATATACCTGGAGTACAACTAAGAACCGTAGGATACAATAACATGGATTACGAGGGTGAGATGTAAATGCCAGTTTGAACTGTTGGTATTTTAGCAGATGTCATAGCCATAAGTAAATATAGCTTGAGGTCAGACCTGAGCTGTATGGGGTACAACTGTCAAAAGCATTGGGCCCAGTTCTTCAAGACCTGGGGCACTCATTTGGAGATTTGTTTGTATCGAGTCATCTCCACTGATTCGCTTCTTTGCTGAATTCAGGACCCCGATGTGTTATCACCCTAGGCCAACCGTCGGAGATGGTCGAAAACGACCAAGGTGGTTGGCCTCCACCACATCCATCGTAGATCTCATCTTGAACGCTGTGGCACTGGGTGGTATCCTGGAGCCTCTGGCGGGGAAGCCGCGCAGTTTTTCGAGTGCAACGTCGCGGTGTTTTGGGGTGCAGGAACGTCCTAAATGGAGCCAACAATCTTAGGGCCTTTCAGCATTTCCGCTTACTTGGGGGTGCCCAAGTCTTTCATCCTGTCTAGTCCCACAAATTGATGAATGGGTGCAGACATGTGAGGTTTCATGAGAAGTCAATGAAGACTCCTCATCCTCCGATCTGTTTCAATGAAACTCTCGGCCACGTGGCGGCCACCCCCCGTGATGTCGGTGAAGGTCTGAAGATTGCAGACGACCAGACGAGGCTTCGAGCCTTCTGCCCTTACCACCGAACAACACGCAGCCGAACGGTGCCGATCGAGCGAAGGAAGTGGATGAGTTCATTTTTGTGGCGCTGGTGCCGACGAAGATTCAGCTCGCCGTCCAGAAGTTGGAACCCATGAAGGCCGAGAGATGATGAAAGAGCGATGAGATGACGCTGGAGAGGATGTTGGAAAAAGCTGATCAGCTCAGCTTAGGAGTATCAGTTCAACACCGCATGACAAACGCAAGCTGGCACGTGAGAAGATACCATTTGCTTGATTGCATCAAGAGCAATAAGTCAAGAAATTGATTTGGAGAATCAAGATGCTTTGGGTGTTGTGGGGTTGTTTAAGTTTTCCTGATTGCATTCGTATTCAACAGGCGAACTGGGAAGGTGGGTAGGTGGCTCGAAAAGACTCGCATGGCATGACTCATGACACGAAACGTCCATTCTCATTGGAATTCCGACCCCCCCAAGGCTACAAACTTCCACATACACCTTGTTTTCTTTTTTGTGCACATGGCTTAAATCCATGATGTATCACAGTTTCCGAAAGCATTACTTATCTAAAGCGTTTCCACAACGTCGTACCATCAAACGGGTGCCTTTTTGCAAGCCACATGACTTCTCTCTCTAATGCAGCGTTTCCATGCGGCCGGGTGACTTGATGTAAGCTCAGGTGACTTCACCCAGGTAGTAGCAGGCTTGAGTGAAGCAGGGCACGAACTTGGCAGACCGAAGAGACCAGGCGGTCGAGACGGTATCCAATGAAAACCACCCCACCGGCGCATTTCAAGCGCTGGGTAAGGGAGAGTTGGTTGAATTGTATGAGCCTTTGCTTGGTTGCCAGGTCCGGTATCACCAGAAACGCAGTGACGCAGAGTCCGTCGTCCACTGCATCATGCTGTTGGCCGCGATTTTGCTTCCCTGGCTCATACTGCTGGAACCCATTAGCCAGGACATGCTCGCGGCGAAGCTGTCTTTGCTGAGCATCTCTTTATTCTTTGGTTTGGTCTTCACGGAAATCCCCAGGCCAGTGATCAAGGCGCTATAGGCTATAATAAACCATAGTTTCTCCTCCAACACCATCATCTTGGATTCTGCTTAGGCTAGTTCGCTTTGTCTCCTCCAGAAAATTTCCAGTGGTCACTAACGCTGTTCGGCTTGCCGAGAATGAAAGGTCTGCTGAGAGACCGAGATTGAGAATCATCCACACCAAATGCCAACTCCCAAGGTGAAGAAAGAAATGTGCCGCTGAGCTTGAGAACAGGAAAGGAGTGAGCTGGCTCGATTCCTCAGAATGATTTCATCCAACAATGACTGGGCAGGGAGGAAGATGTTCATCGTTTTCCATGCGATCGGATGAGGTTTCATTCTTCCGTCGGATCACTCACCGGCTGAGTTTTTCGTTTTGCTGTTTTCCCTTCGTGCTGACTCAAATGCACTTCCTAGGCACTTCCGGTCCACATCCGGTGTGGACCGGAGAATCTTTGTGTTTGGGGATATGTTTTGCAGATGAAGTGAGTTGTTTGAGCATTTATCGGTTTGTTGTTGAAATGTGGCACCCTCGTTGAGTGCTTCCACAAACAGTCATGTAGGAGGTCCGGTTTGCAAGGCTGGGGAGGGTAGATCTGCACGGCTTAATCATCTGCTCCATCTGCTTGTGATTCACGGACGAGGTTTGTCTTCGTGTTTCCAAGGCATCCTTGCAAGAAAAGTGCTTGAATCAAACATTATAATGACTGGATCCAGTTAGACTTTCATTTTGGGCAGGTCAAATTTCATTTGTCGTCAACCGCGATTTGATCTGTTTTTGGGTTCGCTGCAGCCATGTTCAGCCGCCCGATCTGTTGAGGCAGTGGCACTCAGAACTTTGTGGTGTCCTTCAATGCGGATGTGCAGATGGTCCTGGGCTACGAGACCTACCATGCGCGCTCCCGCGCACTGCCCACTTTGTCCGAGCAAGCCGTGCGGACCTTCCGCTTCCGAAGCTTCAACGACGCCTGGCTGCCCCCGGGTCCCGGTGTGTGGAATGATACCTCCTTGGGTCGTGAAGCGTGGGTGCCCAATTAACCCGAATTTTGCGAATGCTACATCGACTGAAACCACACCTAGGGAACGCACTTTGCACAGAAATTTGGCCTCACTACACTAACACCGAAGAGAGGATGGATGATATTGATGTGTCAGGCATTCGAGCTTGGCTGCCTTGCCTCGTTCTGAAAAACATCTTTGTTTGTCTTGGACTTTCTGTGATCAAAGACCATGTTCATCCTGCCCTGTTCTCTAATTATTTTGTCAGTGGTTTTGATCTGCCCAAAACCATGAGACTGGCAACGGATTGCTCCACCCAGGACACCCCCGAGTACTTCAACAAGGTCTCCACCCCCAAGGACCTGCCTTTCCACTGCTCTGCTAAAGCCGCGCGAAGTGGCTCGGCGTTGCGCTCGCTCGGTACTTTGAGCGTTTCTCGAACGAGACATCCACCCTGACCACTCTGTTTTGTACACGTAGGCACGTAGGGATGAGGGTTGCCCTTCAGACAGAGGAACACTCCCACAAGTGAGGGCTATTAGGAGACTCATCCTTTCATCACTCACTTTTCACAATTTTTTCTTTTCATCGTACAAGTTGTTGGCAAAAGTCTAGGATGGCGAGACCGCCCGAACCACCACGCTGACCGCAGGAGTTTGAAAGAGGCCGCCTTCGAAAGATGAAAGTAACTCGGATGTGATCTTTAGGATATGCATGCGACATGGGTGTGTCTCATTGCTGGTACTTAGTTGGCAAAAGGGCATCACAATCTTTGGGAAAGAGATTTACTAACCATCAATGAATAATCATCCACTTTTACTGATAGTGACATACCCTAAGACCCAAGGCATGAATATGTACAACAAATTTCAGTCTTAGTACATAATACTTTATGCATCTTCTCATGGCTTACCTGCATGGCGCTTCCCTTTTTTTGGGGGTGGAGAGGATGGGAGAGGATGGGACATTTGTACTCGGTGGACTTGTGACCGATTGTGATCCACATGTATTCATGTTGTGAAGCGAAACACCTGATGCGCGACAAATCATGGTCATGCATGATCAAGGTAGGCAAAGCAGTACCGCGGACTCCGTCGAGAGAATCCAAGCAGTATCACTCAAGCATGCATTGAAAAGTTTCGACTAGCTAGGACTTAGGACTTAATAAGTCTTCTTCTGCCAAACCCAAGGGTTTCTTCTTTGCGAGATCTGGTGTTGCCTCAAGATCATGAGGTGATCCCTTTGTGTCGACCTCCAAGGTATTTTTCTCCCGGAATGCACAACGACTGTAGCAGTGGAATTCAGATTTACCATGATTTACCACTCCGCCTGTTCTCGTTTGATCATGTTTGATGCCTACTCACCAGCATCATGCAAAAACCGAACCTGTTGGGTTGTAGGGAGGTCCAACTCGGCCGCAGTACCATGTAGTAGGGCCGGCGTAGGGCCTCAGACATGGAAACCCCTCAGGAGGAAGCTGCTTATTATCCCGTTTGCTTTGAGCCGGACGTCATGACCGTGAATGGATCTGCGACTTGGAACACCAATCGCTTCGCCTCGTTGCGCCGTTGCATCGTCCGGCATCGGTCGGCCTCGACCGATGGACGGACGGGCGACCTCCGCCGAGGGTCGGGTATATAGAGTCTCCTCCCGGTTCGGAACGAAAGACCGGAACAATTGCGCCGTGAAGACCGGAACGAGGTTCGGAGCGGGTGATTTTTGAAGGGGCTTTTCTCCACGTCGTCCCCCAATGGAGGATCCACATTTGACAGCATGCTTGATTAGCACGATCGTCAAACATCTGGCTCATGCCGCTGCTGCCCGGACATGCCGGGTGAGCAGCGCACATGGCACCACAAGAGCCACCTCTCTTGTGGTCCGATCTTGGCGCGGGCGGTCGGCATCAAGACTCAACAGACTGGTAAGACCTTCGTTTGCTTCACTCTTGCATTAGTTTTCGCGCTGAAAGCACACTTTTCTTCCATTTTTGGGGTGAACAAGGGAAAGCACTTGCCGTAATGGCGGCCTGAGGCTTTTCCCCGCTAGTAAGTAAAGGCGGCCGTACGACGGCGGCGCTGCCTTGTTCGGTCGGATGTGGCCATTCCGATGTGGGCAACCCCAGAGTGCGTCGTGTGCTGTCATGTGCTGTTCAAGTCTTCCGCTGATTGGCACAATGCTCGAGTCCTTTAAGCAGTGACTACCATGTACAGCGACGACTTTGGCATTGAGTAGGAGTGAGTAGGTATGTGGGTTTGACCTTCATGCTTGATAATTGGTGTATAAAGTATCGCAAGATATACTATACCAAGCTACAGCCACATTAAACTACTGTATATCATTTTGTCCATAAGCTTCAGCCATTTCCGCCATTAGGACCTGTCAGGTTCACGAAGTTCTTCAGAAAAGCCTTTCCTGGCATCTCTTGTCTGAGGCCTATGGCGTGCCGAGGCTAACGGAAATCAGCTACTCTCGCATGAAGACCCTTGCATTCCAGTCCCTTGTCGCTTTCAGGGTACAAAGGTTCACGGAATCGCGCACGGCACGTTATGGTTCTTTTTTCGGGGGGGCAGAGGTTCATAGGATGTGATATTCATGTGGGCGGTGACACCCTTTGTCGAAACAGCAAAACTACAGCATGGTGGACAGCAAAGAACTACAGGATGTTGACAAGAGGATGCCATGCCACGCTTCCAAGCCACCCATCAAAAGTTGTTCCGGTTTGGCATTCCGCAGAGTCCCAACCGCCAGACACGTCGTCGGCGGCCAAGATCTGCCAGGTTCGACCTCCCAGAAGGGTCTACATGTGAGGACTTTGCGCAGTTCTGCCATGATCCGGAGGTGCTTCCCACTCGTTTCGTCGTTTTTTTTGGCACGAACGGTGGTTGTTGGCAACCAGGACCAGTAGTCGCAGTAGCTGAATTGCCAGTGGGTGACCAAGATGGTGACCGGGAAATATCTGATCTTGCACAGCAGACTGTCGATGGCTCATCAGAGACTGCGCACATTGACTCACACTAGCTCAATAGACAATTGAACTACTCACAAAGATTCCAACACCATTCCCAGACGCAAACACAAGGTTTGCGCAACGTCAGGCAACAGCCAATGTTGACCATGGCTTATGGAGCCACTGGCTCAACCTGTCGTCATAAAATGTCCAGAGGCCCAGAGCCCACTGGGTTTTCGTGAGAACACCTGTATTGAAGGAGTCTTGTTTGGTCTAGTCTTCCACCATCACTGACGCTTTGTTTTGCTGCAGAAATCGAAAGAGAGATGGGAACCCGCCAACATCGTGATGGCCAATCGACCTTGCGTGTTATTCACCTACATTCCTACTGCCAGGTAAGCTGCCTTGGGTCTTGTACTTTAGAAGCGCGCACTCATGTTGCTGCATAGGGGTATCGAGCTAGCAGCTGGAGGGATGTTTTTTTTGCATTTTAAAGATCTTTGTTCACAGTGAGACATTGTCCATTTCCCATCAGAGGTTACTTGAGAAGCTGGACATATTACAGTATATATGTACACGACGCTGCAACCCTCCACTTTGACGAACAGGATGGCACGGCCCTTGGGAAGGGATTTCCTCTACAAAGTGGAACCAGCGACTCTGACAGTCAGAGTTTATGTGGTGACCGACCAGTCCAATCCAATGCCTTTCTTGGAGAGCTAAGCTTGACCATACTTGATCTGGAATGAACATCTGGGAATGGTCCAAATATCTTTAAACCCCTTTTGTTCAGTACAGTTTGTAGCTCGTTTCTCACGATGCGGCTTACCTTCTCATCTCTATCCCGCATCAACCCTCAAAGAATGAGCACTTGTGGCCGATTGTGGCCTATGCCTCACGTGTTTCTTCGAAAGCTACCAGGCGCGCTTGCTGCGCCTGATGTGCGGACAGACCTGTGGCTACTTGGATGGTCGGGCCGTCACGGTGCGGCCGAGTGAAGCGACGTGTTTTGTTTTTTCCATTATTTCTTCCGAGAGTTGCATTGGCTTTAGTGCATGTTGGTCTTACAAAACCGGTGAACGTGTCAGAAAAACTGTTGTTTTTATTGTTTTGTATTTTTGTTGTTTTTTGTTATATTCCCAAACCTTTGGAGGGAGACCCCAATAAACTCCCTTGCGAGACCGTTTTCCAAGATGGAGACTGACACCATTTGTTGGAGTTATTTTTTGCTTCTTTTATCCAATCGAGTCGGTCTTTAACCGAGACTCGATATGAGTCTGTTGAGGTTGCGTGAACCCCTACTCTTCGCCGTGGTATAAGCAACGCTCAGAGGGCTGTGGAGACTTTTGCTTGTGGTCCAGGCACGAGTGAGCGTCTTCCGAGTGAGCGACGGAGACTCCTTCTGACTGACTCCATGAGCTCCGAATCTGAGCTAAGCTTTCATCAGGGTTTGGGCTTCCAACAGTTCCATAGCTGGAGGTTGGAACCCAAAACACTTCAAATCTCTGGATATTCAGGCCCCAAGCACCTTTTGTTGAAGTAATTATATAATCCTCCACCAAGGAGGCTCGAAACAAAGATGTCTCAGCATGTGATCTCATCATCTGTAGACAGAAGATCAATCAGCTTTCAGATCACTATCAGTAAGGTCCAGGTCTAGGTTGGACTTTTCCTGAGCTTTTGTGGCGCTTTCCTATCTGAGGTTTGGTTGGATTTTTCTTCCCATCGGCGGCGGTTAGCTAGGTATTCCTTTATCACATGCCTTATGCCTTATATGTATAATTTGCAGTATATATATATAGTAAGCTTTTTGCTTGGACTCACCCTTTCATGGATAGTTTCTTCATGACATAGTCTCAACAGAAACTCTGGTCATTTCGCTTCCATCAACGAAGACTCTTTCTCCACGGCGACTCCGTTCCTTTCGGAACGCCGACGGTTCGGACTGACGGTTCGCAGCTGCAGCCGTCGCAGGATGATGGCCAATCGCCAATTGCCCTGTCGGGACTTGGCCACAGCGGAGGCCACTGCCAGCTGGAATCACTTCTGGGACAACTACTTTGTGGCGATTGGGGCATCTTGGTCCAGTGTCCAGCTTGGGCTGTTTGGGATGGATGGATGGGCAGTCTTTTGGTGACGCGTTGTGACTCGTATAGTGGACGGGATTTGAAGGATCATTGACCATCCCTGTTGCATTTCTTCCGAATTGAACGTATCCGTGGCGTCGTTGGGGCCTTCCCCTAAATCCGCACGAAGCCGCGAACTTGCACAGATGCCATACAGGCTGTATGTGGCTGTATGTTTCCGAAGGTTTACTGTGCACCATGGCCTGGATATTTTTCATGGATGCCCCCGCTGGTTCATGGCCACCAGCTCATGGCCACGTAGCCGGCAGAACTTCTACGGCACGGACCGGATGGACTTCAGCAAGTATGCCGCTGACACAGTCGTGCAGATGAAGGCGGATGACATCGACCCAGTCGATCTTGTTGGTTTATGGATTGGGTAGAAAATGGATTTGTTGGGTCATGGCATGGGGAGTGTGAAGTTCATGTGTGTGGGTGGCATGGGGAGTGGGGGTAGAAAAAGTCTCGAAGATTATGCGATCAAAAAACGTCTCGACAACAACATCTTAAATTGAAATTAGGAGAGCCGTTCTCATCTATGGGGTGTCCCAAACAAGTGCCTAGGTTGACATCTGAGAGACTTTGAAAAGCCTAGCGTTCCGAAGCCGAAAACGGAACAACGAAGCTGGGACCTCCTGGCACTCCGAGATTCGATGGTCATGTTTTTCAGAGCTTTGGGGGTTCGAAGCCTAGTCGAAGCCCGAAACGAAGCCGCATGAAAAAGTGGCTTTAGTAGACACCGGACCAAGTGCACACTCTTGAATGATGATGTGGTACTGTGCTTCATATTGACAAAAGCAGGGTGGTAATCTAATTCAGTGTGTGAACGCACAGGGCATTTTACCCTGACTTGGTGCCAATCCTTGGAAACGAAGTCGGAAACCCAAAAACGAAGCCTAAGTAAACAAGACCAACTTTTAGTATACATTCATTTTCAAGGTTGCTCATCTGGAGTTCCAACCACCTCCCTCATCATGTTTGAGCTCCGCTCTCCCTGCCCTCTCCCCTCTTCCAGGCTCAAGGATGCTCCTATTTGAGGACGTTGCCGGAAGATCCCGTCGCATGGCCGTCTACTCCGTTCGACTCTTCACTGTTGGAGTCAACTCGTGCAGTCATTTTACGCTTCTCTCGGATTTGGGAGATCTTTTTGGGGGTCCAAACGCTTCAGACGGCCAAAGTGCCAAGGGTACTGGGCACCCTGATGCCAAATCTCTCCCATCATCCAAATGATTCACATGTTGAGGTAGGTGAAGGTGTACAAAACGTAACCTGGCAGATTATTGGGTTTGGGGCCATTCCTTCAAGAACCACAGCATGAGTGGCAAGCCGTTGATCATCAACATGAGGGTCTCCAGATTTGGGCTCTAATAGGCGGCTCTGGAACGGGTGCCCAGATCCAGATGGAGGCATTCAGGGATAGAGATGGGGTTTGGTGACTTTTGAGTGATCCTTTATCTTCCAATTATCCACAAGCCATAAGTAAGTAGTTGTGTATCCTCCAAAGTATGTAGCAGTAGGCTTACGGAAGGCTTACGTCCTGCACCATGAAATGGAGCTATGCAGAGCTTCATTTGCCACCCCCAACGGGGGCCGCCGGACATACCTTCCCACACTTGGCGAGGTCACAGGCAACACTTGGTGCCCTGGTGCTAAGGAGCGGATGTTGGAGACCAGTGCTTCGTGCGTCGTCCTCCCCGCAGGGGCGGAATAAAACCAGTTGATGTGGTGGAATCACGAGACCCCCAATTTGTCCTCTTCATCTCTTCCACTTTTGGAAGAGTTCCTGACTTGTGACTATGCTACTGGATCAGATCCCAACAGATCAAGGCCTTTACTGGCAGGTTTGCTTGCAACAATATACAACCAATGATACAACACACAAACCGATGCACTCGCATGGAAATGGCAAGTGGGCTGCGGGAAGACCATGGAAGACTTTTTTAGGCTGCAAACAGGTTCTTATCCTCTTCCATGTTATATAGTATAAGACAACGTATTTATGCTAAGATTAATAGATGCTCCACGGCAGTGTAACATGAGTACCGAGAAGACTGCCGCCAGGTATGTATTGGAGCATAAGATACACGCCCGCCTCAGGTCGTCCCTCCTGAGAGCCACCGTCAGGTCAGGGCGCACGGATTCCGTCGCACGCTCCCCCGAATGCGCCGACGTCGCCAGGATCTCTGGGGGCCTTTGGCGTATTTGTGTCCCGAGTCCTGTGGCTGTGCCAATGGTACCGCCGAAGACCAATCGCAGCTGGGACGCACCGAGAGAGAGAGAGAGAGAGAGACCGTCCAAGGAACCATGCGACGGCCACGTGCGAGAACCGGGCTCGGCATGGTTCGGCGTTGGGGACGCTGAAATGGATGCTCCCGTGGTTCGGAATGTTCGACGTCGCCACTTGAGGTGCACCTTTCGCATCATTTCGCAGGTTCCTCACTTGTTGCACTGCTGTTTGGGAACTCCTCATCCTCACCCGGCCTCACCCTTGGACCAACGGATCAGCCCAGGTGATTTGTGGGATGACCCAAGCGTCCCTGTCATAGAGGTTTCCATTCAATCCAAACACTGTTGGGTCAACGTTTTTGGGGCTCCCATCAACCTACTGTGACGAGTTGCATTCACCAAGGGACGTTTGCCCTTCCAGCTGTACTGGTGGCTCCGCTTACGGCTATGGATATTAAGAGGAGCAGTCGCGGCAGCACGCGTCCCAACGACAACGCCTTGTTTTCAGAGCGCCTTGCAAGTGCGCACAATTGTGCGACTGAGCTGAGACTGATTTGGGGACTCTGCGAAGCAGAGAGAACCACGCATGTAGAGCCAACAGCGCCTTGGGCGTTCAAAGGTTTCTGAACGAGTTGGGCTCCCGGAGAACGCGATAGCTTCTTTGCGGCTAGTTGTGGCCAAAGCCTTGTAGGCCATTGTGAGCTGGAGGATGCCTATATACATACAATGTACATATACAAATATATATATATATATAATAGATAGGATGACTTTGCTGGAGCACATCTCTGCGAAAGGACTCATGCACGAGTTTTCCCCGCCACCACGCTTTGTTGAGGGGTAGTGGACGGAGTCCGGCACTTGGCAGTGAGCCGCGTGCGCAAAAGCACAGGTGGTTAGATGGCTTTGGCTCAGAGCACTGACACCGCTGACTGGAGGCTTTGTTCAGGTTCCCCGATAGTGACCCCAAAGAAGTAAACGTGCATTTCACATTGTTTTCTGGTCTCATCCTGGACCAAATTCTTAGCAGATTTCGAGCCATAGCTAGACCCCTGGCTCAGACTGTCCGGTCTCCGTTCCAAGCAGCCCCTGAAGGCCCCCGCAAGGCGGAGGCAGACCCAGAGCCAGGATGAAAAAGGATGAAAAGAAGGAAGCGCCTTCGTCTTGAAGCAATAAGCCCCTTAAACCTATCAAAAACTACTGGTTGACTTTAAGCCACTGAAAGCCCCTTACCATTTAGCATACTCGATTTCTTTGGACGTTGACATGGCCCGAGAGATGAGTGCCGGTGGCCCCCAGCAGCTTCATGTTTCAAATTCTTCACACCTGGGAGATGGACCGTTCGCTACGTCTCGTCAGCTGAGATTTTCCATGACGGTCAAGATGATTGCTGCATGAAGTTTATGTGTTTTGTTCCCTCCGGTCAACTTGGTTCGCTTGAAGGCTGCATCTCTCATGGACGAACGTGCTTTATTGCTGAATCTCCTGCGAGTTCTGGGCTCGACTTGACCGCTGGGTACGACGATTCCGCGATTGACACCAAGGCAGGATGTGTCGCCACGCACCAAGCGGAATCATAGAGGCTACCGGTGTTCCAACAGCGATGCATCCAACCACTTTTTACCAACCCAACAGCCCTGACGAACTCGTCTCTGGTCGTCCCTCCCCCCATGTTTTCGTGTATCCCCATGACTCCATGGCGCCTGCTGTTCTGAGACCAACTTAAAGGTGTCACAATCTTCATCCATTTGCAATACTGCCTATATGGCACTCAAACTCATGGCGGGTGTGGAAAGGACGCGGCCTCCAGTTGTGTAGGTGTGAGAACCTTCTACATACGTTTGAATGGTTCACGCATGGCTGAGGTGTTGCTGTGCAAAGAGTTGTGAGGGGTCACAGTCATGTTGGGCCAACCGGGGGGGCTTGCACCTCCTAACCACGGGAAAAGGGTCACATTTGTGAGACATCCTTATCTTATTATGTGTATGCTGATGGCCATCACTGATGTCATAAGGATCGACCAGGTACATGACACCCCCGTAGTTTGGCCTTCCAGACCCTGAAGAAAGGGGCTGTGGCACTGTGGAATGGTCCTTCTGTTCAAACTGATGACGAAAGACTGAAGACGCATTGGTGGCCGACTGGTGGTGTGATTCTTCTTCAAAAGGGGGGTTTCTGTTGGGCTCCAAACTTCGAAGATCGGCCTGTTACGGCCCTACCTCCTGATTGGCCATCCAAGATCGATGGTGGCCAGGCTTCCAGTCTCAGAGGGTTTCATGGCTCCGTGAGGTCATGGCTTTCGTCACCAAGAAGGACTCTGGAGTGAAGACGGTGGTGAAGGCCAATTTGGTCAGAAGACTTCTCGGATTTCGGCGGCTTGTGACAGGATTTAACCCGTGATGGCTATTGAAATTGGGAGACCTCTCAAACATCCCCTAGAAGGTTTGGAAAGACACAAACTCATTGGTCGGGTGTCTCCCTATTAAAATACACCCACATCGGTCTGAAGGTAAAAAATGTCCGGTGGTGCTTTAGATTGGTAAACACCGCAGACGTTGGGCCTGTTTGAGTTTAACAGATGAACTGTCTCAAATCAAAAGGAGGAGTGGAGGCTTCAAATGGATTCCCAGTTCCTCCGAAGTCAACGAAGCCGGATTCGATCCCCTCCCGCTTCGTAAACACCGAAGTCCTGCACGTGGCAGCAGAAAGCGACTGCTTGCAGGGCTTCCTCACGGGTGGCACCCAAGCTGCAATCACCTATCCCACCGAGTACGTGAAGACGCAACTGCAACTGCAATCGATGCTTGGGAAGAAGCGACTGAGAGAATGAGAGGAGAAATTCGGGTTCCTACGACTGTAGAAGTCCGGTCTTCCCCATCTCAAAAGAGTTTTGTCTAAAACAAAGGTATGAAGCGCCACCTGAGCGATGCAAAGATGTCTGTGGACAACCAAACCGAAACAACCTTTTGGCATGGTGTTCCCCTGTTTAAGCCTTCAAAACATCACTGAGACGTTGCGGTTCCCCAGTTCTTTTGGGGCACTTTCTTTTGTGCGAGGTGTGGATGCGGTATCCAGATAAGTCAACGGATATGTGGGATACGGATCCTGTATATATAGTCTTCATGATGTGAAGATAGTGGACAATATACAAGACCCTGTGCCAAGGTGACCGGGGACGAGACATCCAGCAATGTCAAATCTATATACGTCTGAAGGATGGGGACATCTTGCAGAACGAATCAGAAACTGATGATGAAGCGATGATCAGATCAGCGTTCCCTTCATCATTCTTCATCCATGGACAGTGTCAGGGCAACATTAGACCGGAGATGACCAGAGTAGTTTGAAACCCCAAGGGCTCAAGTCCCTCTCAGACAAGCTGGAATGGACTCCGCTCTGCGCTCAGGAAGGCAAACCCTGAGTATGCGGGTATTATCGACTGTGCAAAGAAGACGATGGAACAACATGGTGTGAAAGGCGCCACCCGCCCTTGATGCTTCGATCTGATTGTGGACTTGCTTCAGAAGAGGAAATTCCCATCGTGGATGTCTCATTGCATTGTAGCACTTCTGCTGTTCACAGTGTTTAGACCAGATCATCCAAAAGGCCAGAAAGCTGAATCGAATCACTCAAGCAGCTTGTAGCATCAGTTCAAGCACTTAGTATCTTGTGAGTTTCCCCGTTTCCAGGTCCACTTAACCCCACGGACAACGCACTTTCGATGCTGGCTCGTCTGTCATGCCTTCTAAGTTTCCAACCAAGTAAAGCCTCAAGAAGAAGAACTCTCCCTTTTGGAGGTATTCTCCTCATGCCGGTGCATCTGACAGACACTAGCCCTGCAGGAAAAAGTATTCTCATTCTCGCTCCATCAATCACTTGGCCACTGAGACACCGACGATCTCCAGTCACCGCCCTGCGCACCGCCGTCTCCTGTTGTCAGGCCTCTACCGAGGCGCAGGCGTTCGGATTATTGGGGCTGGCTTCCAGCAGATGTGCAGGTGCGGAATGCGGCGTTCCGGGGTGACCTCAGACAACTCATGGTGACGGCCGGGGTGAGCGCAGGAGTTTGTGAGTTGGGTCGAGTTTTCCGCGAAGGACATTGGTGCGCCAAAACACTTGTTTGCTTCAGGGATGATGGAAGAGTTCTCCTGCAACAGGATGCACGATGCCCTTGAGCGATCCTAGAATATTCGTGCAGGAGTTTGTCAGCTTGTGAACTGATCATATACACTTATCTCTAGTTACTTCAACTATTGCGAGTCATATTTACCTTTCCTCTCAATGCCCATGCTTCCCATTTCTTCATGGCGACCTTCTGGTTGATGTTGACATGAACATTCCTCGAGACTTGTTGTATTTTATGTCGCACCTCACCGCCGCGGAAGTGTCCGCCGTGTCCGCCCACCGGATCGTCATGCAGGTGGGGCGCCTACACCAACCTCACCCAGGTCTTCCGTGATCCAGAGACCGGTGCCACGACCAGAAAGACACGGGTTTCTGCTGAGGTTTACTCCGTGAAATCCTCAGGGAAATGGACAACCCCTGTTGGTAGGAAAATGATCATCCAAGGGCCACTTCCCCACTGTCCCAGTAAGTCTGCGGGCGGAGTAGAAGAGGATTCAGAATGAGAAAAATGCTGGACATAGCTGCACAATGGCGCATCATTGGTGGGAAGACACTGGAACCTGGTGGATCCTAGAAGAACCATTGATTTCTACCATATTATACCTCTAGTTTGTTTGTGTGCTTTTGGAGCTGTTGGTGACTAGGAACCTGATCCACTGGGAGCCTGGTAACCACATGAACCCTCACTCAACGTGTACATGCCTGACAGCTATCTCATCAACCCCCCCTACAGTTCCCTTCAACCCCTTCTATATACTGTACTGTTATAACTTATAACCGGTTCTGTTCCGGTCTGGACCTCGCGGTGGGCAAGGCAAGCTGAGTCAAATGAACAACGTGATTTGCGGCCTGGGTGCTGGCATTTGCGAGGCGGTCTGTGCCGTGACACCGGTGGAGCCGCTGGGGCGAGACAGACAGAGGGTGGATCGGGGGGCGTCCGAAATTGATGGGAAGAACGAGCGAGAAGTGAGAAGCCACAAGAAGTTAGAAGCTCCTGGAGTTTTGAGGGATGAACTCTTCGGTTTGGGGATCAGCCGGGATCAGTGTATACTTATGACATATGACGGTTAGGAGGGAGCCAAGGCGCTGCGTGGTATCCATGTTCTCATCTGAGCACGAAGCAGCTAGAGGGAGTTTTTCCCCACTTGCCGCATACCAATCATACAAGCAAGAACAGGTGCAGATCTGCAGAATGATAGGCAAGCTATGGATTCTTTAGCCTCTTTGGGTCCAGTTATAGAAATGGAGCTCAAAGCGAACAAGCCAGACGACTTGGATGAGCTGGGCTCTAAGGACCGTGAAGACACGAGTGACCGACGACCAGCGAAGAGGAACTGGTAACTACAAGGCCGTCGCGGGGGCAGACGAGATGAGATGTTTGGGAAGGGAACATCGATACTAAGTTGGCACTTCTAGGAACTCATAGCTGGGCAGCTCGTGATTCCGTTTAAGTCTTTGGTACAACTCTGTAGCTGTCTTGTGTGGATCTGCTATAGTTGTAACTGGGCAATTTGGGTTCCCTTGGGTTCTGGGGCAGTTGAGATCCACAGCCCTTGCGCCTTTCAGTGGGAGACGTTTCTTGGGCGATCCGATCCTTCTTTGGATGCCCCTTCCTTGTTGGCGCTTAGTTCAAGACTATGGTGAGTTGAGACTTACCAACATTTTTTGCTTTACCATACTTTACGACTTTACCTATTTTTTCCCTCTGATTGGCCCACATAGCAGTTAGTCGGTACATCTCCACGAGTGATTGACAGGACTGGTATGGACTGGTTCCCTAGTGCATCTCCACGTCTCTTGCTCCCGTCATCCAGCTGAGGGCTCTGCAGATGCCATCGCCCGGATGCCCGCGGTGTGAACTTAAGATTTGGACCAGTCTGATGGTTGAAATAGGTCAATACAATTACTAAATGGTCAACGTAGTAAACCCGGTTTCTTGAATGATCCCGAAGACATGCTGGTGTGGCTGATCTACCTTTGGCGAGTTGAGAAGTACTGCCATCCCTAACTTAAGAGTACAATCAGACCTGTTTTTGGATGTTGTCGCTCTTGGACTGAATTCACATGTCCGGCGGGTGTCTGGAATACTTGATGAGGCCCCGAAATCGCATTTACCGTGCTGGGCCCGTCCAGTTCGGGGAGGAAAAGCATGGGAGTTCTTGCCGTCGGACCGCCGCTGACCGTCGACCTCATTGGTCCGGGCAAGTGCAAAGACCGACATTTTCAGCAAGATGGACATCCAAATTTTCATGTTTTTGAAAAGCAGCGGAAGTCCAGTTTGCAATAATCATAAGCAAGAATTATGTGGCTCTTTTCATCTGAGGAAACGGTATCTTCGATTTTCCTTTCATCTTGCTAAGACCAAAGGACAAAACTAATATAATAGGAATACATATAGTAATATAACAATAGTACTGGTCAATAGGAAACATAGACGAGATTCATGTGGCCACGGGCCCTCAACATTTCAGAGGCTGACTCAAACATTCGAGGCAGACAGAGTCACCATAGATCCCGACATAGGCATTTCTGCTTTTGTCTTGAGTTTGCCGGTTTGGCAATCCTTGGCCCTTCAAGGAGGCTTTTGGACATTTTTCCCGATGGATTCAGGGACCCATCCATCCTCATCCTGGCACAATCAAGTCCACCCGCCCGACTTCACGGCTTTTGGACCTCACCACGTGCGATCTGGGGGATCCTGCGGAACCACTGGGTGTTCGGAACCCGGAACGTGACCCGGTGACCTGGTCGCGTGAATCGGTCGGGCAGAACCCGAGGTGAAGATCCTGAAATCCGAAGGGCCCATGGGTCTGTACCGAGGCCGGGTCTGGAGATGCCTCGGAGGTGAAAAGGAGGTGAAGGGGAAAAGAAGGATTTTTCAATGAAATGAACAACACACAATTCTGGGTAGTTATATATGCGGGTATTTGTGATGCATAATATATAATATATATATATATCCCGGGATGGCAACCATGATGTGTTTGGCTGACCAGTTTTCTGGATTGGTGCTGGATGGCTAGACGAGACTGTGGTTGTAGTGGACTATGGACCATGTGGACTATGAGCTTTCATAGTTTGCTGTGTTCTAGTGACTCTAGTGGACGACGTGAGCTGTGAGTCCTGGTTGCAAACAGGACAGAGTATGGTCTTCGGTTGCTAATTGCAGTGTGTCGGTTCGCGTTCAAAAGTCAGGCTTCAGATACGTGTGGATCCGTGCACATCTGTATCATGGTTCGCACATGTTTGTGCACATATTCTTAAATTATGAGGCATGTTCATGCATGTTCTAACTTTCATGAGGTGTGTGTTGCGTAAAAAGACCATTTGAACACCGTCACTTCGAGACCGTCCCCAAAGTTCCAACTCGCCAACCCGACCGTCCGGGCGATCCAGCACGCCGCGGAAGCGCCCGGACTGGCGCAGCGTGGCCAGGTGCGTTCCCCACGATTTTGAAGCAAGGCACCAACCAGGCCGTCAGGATGCCATTGCAGGCGGGGCAGAGGGGCCGGTCCGGCGGACGGAGATGGAATGAAATACTCATAACTTTGTGTCCAAGGCTTACAAAGTTGGACCCCAAGATCCAGCTGTTCATAGCGGTTCCAGCAGACCAGACACATACATTGATGTAGCCTTTGAAGAGGAGGACCAACTCCACCAGTACACTTTTTCTATCTTTTTCTGCAAAGAAGTGGTTGCCCCAAACTTGTTTGAAAGATCTGCCGATGTGCCCCAATCAAGTGCTATAGGACATGGTGCTTTTTCTGCATCGTGTGGTTGCGACCCCATCCGTCTTTCGTCGTTGAGAGATCGGGACCACATCCAATCGCTCGACGCGAGCGCCCAAACGACGAGACGAGGTCGCCATCTTCGGCGTCATCTCCTTTGGCGACGAGTCGCAGAAGCAGAACCCCTTGATGACCCTCGACCGACTCGACGAGTCGCACGCGAGTCGCACGCACCCGGCGATGGGGTCGTTGTCCGTGCCGAGTCAAGCGGCAAGGGCACCATGTGAACTCTTGCCACCGATCTTTTTAGCGGGTAAGTACCGGGTAGGCAGGACGTTTCAACTGATGTATCCTCGACCCTTGTGCTGGACGAAATGCTGTGGAGACCACGGGTCATCTACAGTCCCACACAGTCCATTTGTGTCATTCATGGGCTGGCTTGCCTTCGGAACTCAGGAGCTGGGCAATCGGTTTGTTAAACATCTGGGAGTCTTCGCCATCGGCAGGGTGCGGTACATCGTGGGTGATGAACGCCTAGGTTTCTTCATCGTATGGTTCGCATGACGCGGTTGGATCTCCCCCTATGACCGCAGTCACCCTTAGCCGCAAAAACCTTGACGACCACCTAGCCATGACATAATTACTTGGATTGGACTTGAAATCAAACGACCCCTCCAACAGTTGTGTTTTTGACCATCTGAAACCTATGGTTCGAGACGAACTCCTCAAAACAGGAGTGTTTTTCTTGGCTTCATGTTCCAGATTTTGAACATTTAGGGATTTGCGGGGATTCCGTGTCGGAAAAATCCCTAGCCGCTAGCCGTTCATTCTTGGGTTCCGTCAGGAACGGGGCCGCCGGCTTTTTGGCGGGCTGCGGCTCGGTGCTGCTCACGCAGCCCCAGGACAGGCGGCTTGGCTGGGCGAAATTCCACACATTTTATGGGGCACAGAAAAGCTTGGCAAAGATTTGCTGTTAAGCAGATGTTTTTGTGAGGTTTAAGCACATAGTGGAGAGGGAATTGGTTCCTGGGAACACATTGCAGTATACTAATATGCATTCGCATTGATGCCAAGTCACGTTTCTTTGATTGTGAAGGACGCTGCAATTCATCAGAGTGGCCCTGGAGTGACAGAGTTGGGGATCAGGATGGTCATCATTTTCCTCTACGAAGTAGGGTTCAAGGGCTGGGACAATCAGGCCGTCTTGTATCTACCACAACAGAGAGAGAGAGAGAGAGAGGGACAGAGAGAACCATCCTTCGTGAAGATGCACTGTACGTCTTGAGGCTCTGCTGCTTTCAGGGTTTGGGATGCCGCGGGGTTGATGTGAAAGGGCGGCGGGTTGATGAGGAAAGAGGATGAAAGAGGTTCAACCACGACGAATATGGATCCTGCTACTGGCCCAGGCAAACTTCCAACTTGGAATGGTTTGGATTTGCCCACCTCATCACATGCCACTTCCACAAAGAAGTTGCAGATGGATGGGTTTGCGACTATGTAGTCAACACCTTCGCCCGAAACAGGCACATGAGTCCTTTTGCAACCCTGTTGACCGAGCCCCGTTGACCGATCCTCTTCATACCGCCCGTGAGGACTGTGTGAAGAGCCGAATGCAAGGTGAGGCGGCGAAGGAGCGTCATCTGCGGCGCAGATCGGAGCAGATCGTTGGAGCGTTCGGACCGTTCAAGCTTTTGAGCTACTGAGACAAGTTTACAGAAGCCCAATCCCAACGGAAATGGGATATGTTTGATTTCGTTGGGTGCTTTGATTGGATTGAGCTGTCCTATTATGCTTGGAGAACAAAACAAGTGTATACAATTTTGATTAAGATGCTCCAGTCGTGCAGAGCCCTGAGATTTGTTCTTAGAAATACAGGGCTGGACCAGAATGACCAGATCAGTAGATTCACGGTCTTGTTACCTTTAGAACATGACTTTTGCCAAGCTTGACTGCTTTTTCGTTTGTGGAGTACCTTTCAAATCCTTCCCGGAAGGCGTGACCATTTGACTGCTCGGATGCAAGGCGGTGCTAGGGGGTGCATGTCCGGACATTCCTCTCAATCTGCATGTCGAGGCGGTCGAGGTTGTGTTTGTTGTCGATGCTTTTTGATCACCGAGAGGAGCTCTACTCCGGCACCGTGGACTGCGCGATGCTCGGCGGAAGACGATCTGCTGCGGCAGAACAGTTTGCAGGTCAGGTGACTTCGTGGGGAGTTCGGGGTGGCTGGGCAGATCAGTGTAAGGAGACACATGGAGACACTTGTGAAGGGAGACAAAGGCAACTTCAATACATACGAAAACTATGGACAACTGACAACTTGTAAACGTTATGCCGGAAAGTCCCACTCCACCGTCGTTGAGGACTGGAAGGTGCGACCTTTGCTTGAGCCATCATGAGCATGTAGAGCGGAAACCTTTCAGTGGCAGGTACAGTTGAAGGATGCCCTTGGCATTCAACTGACCGGGCCATGGAAGCAGCGAGCCTTACCAGTCACACTTCCATCCGTTGGCAACAACTTCTTGTAACTATTTCTCCCTGTGAGATCCACGACATACCATGGCCGTAGATCCGTAGATGGACCGCCAATAATTGACGGTCCTTGGCCAAACACGTGACCCGAAGATCACCTCCCAGATCGCCCTTCTTCTTGGGGTTCCCGAGGAAAAGACGTGAGCAGACCACGAAGTACCAACTATACTGTAAAGACCATATATCCACTAAGTACCAATTGGGTATATGATATAGTACCACTCTTATATTATCATATACCCAATTAACTTGGACCAACTCATACCCTTTGTGTGCGCAGTTTGCCCAGGACAAACAGAACGCGGGTGCGACCCAAAACCATCGTACAAAAGTAAAGCAATAACTCGTCGGTATAGCCCTAAGGCGGGAGTCGCACGTACAAGAACACTTGCACGCACGAACAAAGACCACCTTCGACTTCACAAAACATCACTTTGTCAATTGAGCTTTTTTCACCGCAGCCATTCGCTTTGCGATAGTAAGCTGGTTTCAAGTAAGCCATCTACAACTTCACGCAGCAGAAACGACGCTTTGTCACCCAAGCTGGTAGAAACCCAAGCTGGTGCAGAGCCTCACTGTGTCAATAGATTGATCTAAGATTCTACAGGTTTCTACCACAACCGACAACCGCGATTTGTTTTGCTCACTTTGTCAATTGGGCTGTTGTTTGTTTAGCACACCGGGCTTCATGTTGTTTTTTTTGGACTGGTTTTACCCAACTACGGCTTCATTTTGCAACGGCCCACTTTGGTGAATTGGTTTCTATACCTCAAGTTTCAGTTTGTAAAGGCTTACTTTGCCAACTAAGCAGGTTTTTTACCGCAACGACGGTTGCATTGTGCAGAGTCGCACTTTGAAAGTTATATACGTAGTTTCCACCGCAACTTCGACTGCATTTTGAACCGCTCACTTTGTCAAGCCAACTGGTTTCTACTGCAACTACGGCTTCATTTTGCAAAACCACTCTTAGCAAACCAAGTTCTGTATATGGAGAACCGCTTTTAACAAACCGAACTTCTCCACGGAGGCAAACCTCTGGTTTGGACCATGTGGCAGAATTGACGTGATGTATATTCATGTTAGGTTAGGGATTGTTTGAGGGCTTTGCTGAAACTGGGAAAGCACGTGCACCAATGAATGTAGCCAGTTTCGCACCAAACAGTCATCGATTTGGTAGGTCGTTGTTTCTGGAGCCCCAAGGGTGGAATCAGGCCCCTTCCACCAATCATGTGCGGCTTTGGAGGTTTCCCCATTGACGACGGCTGAGGATGAAGATGTTGCGACAGGAGGGCCCCAGCGCGTTCTTCTCTGGAGCAATCCCCCGATGCGTACAGGTGCGAGAAGCAGCCGGGGAAGACGGGGAAGACATGTTCGGCGGCTTTCAGTAGTTGTGTACATTTTGTGAAGAGTTTTCAGGTGGCAGATAGAAAAGACAAAGGCATATGGTCCAAATGGAACTCATGAGGATAACCACAAAACACATCAAAACACTGTTGTGAGTAGACCGCCTCCGATGGACTCCCGGCAACTCGCGGCGTGGCGTGGGGGGTGTTTGCGAGCGACGAGTTGGGCAGGTGGGCATGACCAGCGGTATCAGCTTTGCTCTCTTCCCAGTGATCAGCACCGGTGCTGAGAAGATCCGAGGGGAGCTCTCCGGGATTGGTGGGGGCCATCCGAGGGCGACGGAGCTTCCACACCGGTGACCTTGTCGCCGTTTGTTCGGTCCGATCTCGATCGATCGGACGGGGCTTTCGTGGTCAAAGGAGGGACACCAGGATTCGTGCTCCGAATGAAGAAGTTGTTTTGTGACAGCAGGAAATTTTTTTGTTTGGTTGTGCCACAGCAATGAGTCGAGACATCTCTAGGATTGGTTCTATAGAAGAAGGCAGGCTACCCACATTAACTACTCTGTTTTGAACAAGCAGAGCTGATGGAACAGACCCAATTTGTGCAGGAACATGGCCAACAGCAGGAGGCCCTTGTTCAATGATGCAGATACATGTCAAGGTCTTGTGTACCGAGCTCTTTGACGAAAGGAGTGGGGTGAAATGGAGATTCAAAGGAGATGAACCAGCCATGTTTTCCACTCTTGGGAATCCTGCTCTCTTCCCCAGATGCCCACATTTGACCATCCATGTTCGTCACTCTTCTACTTTAAAGAACCATGCCAACATCGGATCTCAGCTTTGACCAAGGCAAGCTGCTCAACAAGGTCATGTGAGGACGGAGTTGAGTTGTGGCGGGCACAGTGCACCGCAGCGAGCCGGTGCATGGTGCATGGCTTTTTGCCGGCGCTTCCCACTTGGGGTCAGAAAAGCGACAGCTTTGGGAAGGCATCTAATAAGCAGAGATGAAACTATGACTGGCGGTCTTTTCAGCCCTTGGCCAGAGAGGAGTTTGGCCTGGGGGTGCTTGTTCTCGGTCCAGAAACTGACTTCCCTAAACTCTGAGATGATCCTCGAATGTCACCGAATGTCAGTTCAATTCTTAGGGCCTTGGATCAACGCTCACAGCACAAGCCAGAACAACCCACCCATCTCTGGACATTGCGGACTTACTTGCCTTTGGGCTAGGGCAAGGCTTGAGGAAGAATCCTGTGCTGCATCTTTAAACAACATCTCAAAGCTAGCAGCTAGGGGTTCAGTACAGCAGGTAGCTCTGGCGGGTTTGCATCTTACTTTCGACTGAGATGAGCGTTGTACGTAGAGTTTCGGAGGAAGGGAACCGGCGGTCGGGTTAGGGCAAATGGCGTTTTCTGGTGACGGTGTGAAGAGATCAACACATTGCCCCACCTTGACCCGACGTGGTACCTCTTGCAAAGTAGCGGCGAGCTCTATCTGACAGGGCCTGAGGTGGAAGGAAGCTTCTCCTTGACATGGCCATGGGGCAATTTTGGAGAAAACAGCTGAACACCGCACTGTCCGCGGAATGAGCGTGGACGGTCTGAAGAGTTTCCGATTGCTCTAGGTCTGAGTGTCAGATGTTCCAAGGTTTAAACGGCCGAGGTCCGGAACACGCGCACGAACAACGAGATGTTGGTTGAGGCACAAAATTGCTGGAGTCCCGACAGAGAAGACATGACAAGACCACCAACCCTTCACTTCTTCCGGTTTCCAGTTGATTCTGGACCTTGAAGATGTCTCACAAAGGTTTTGTGGCGAGATCTCTAGACCCTACATCCGTGCGTGAGAAACAAGGCAGCTCGGCGGCTCGGCGGAACTCGGCCGCCACGTCTGCAGGCCAGAGTGAACCCTTCATACCACTGGAGTTCACAATGGCTCAATTTCCGCTAACACTTACCGTGTCCAAGTAAGCTGCACACAATCGTAATGAGATCCCCTCCTACCACTGACAAGAAACGCTGCAGGGGCTAGTCAATATTCGAGTCATGTCGAATCGCAGGGGGGGTTTGCAACCCAAAAGTAGTTTTATGTGAGAGCCACTGAAGCCATTGCAGCACGTTGAGCTACAACACCTCAAACCAACACCATCACCACCTATGGGCTCCTCTTTTTTTTCTGGTTTCTTCACCTTGAGTTTCTTCACTTTTTTCTTTTTTCATCTCTGAGGAAACCTGGGAGTTTCCTCTTCCCTTTCGGTCTCCGTGTGGAGACCGATCCGATGTGATTCAAGCGACTTCGTTCGGCTTCGACTCCGGGAACGGTCTGCTTCGAGCTGAAGAACGACGTGACGTAGTGCATCGTAGTGGGGTGGAAGATGATTTCGTTGTGAGTTGTTTTCATGACTTCTTTCTGGACAGCTCCTGTAGGCATGTAAAAAGAAGACAACTCTTGGAGATAGAAGTAGAAGACCTCCCACGAGTTTTGTTCTTGTTTGCCCACTCAACTTGGTTCGAAAACGTAAATCCTGAGGCATTTCAGGGCAACTTAAATTTTAACAACTTACGCACCTACTTCAACTTCTGGTTCATCCTGGTCCACCCTACTCCACCCTATCCAAACCCTCCACAAACACACCTTCAGCTGGTGCCTTCCAACATGGCAGATGAGCCTTTGCTTGTGGAGGAGCCAGGCGTGCCAACCAAACTGGACAAGCAAAGGGCAGAGTTTAAAGGCCTAAATCTGGAAGCAGCAACGCAAGTTTGTTTTGAAAAGCCCGGGGTTGGTTGGGTACTGCTTTACCAAAGCTAGTGGCCAATCTTTTCTTGGAACATTAGCAGAAGAATGTCATGGTATGAAGGGCAGATCATATTTTTCCAGTTGCACCTTTGACAACCCTCAAAGCCCGTGGTTCTGTAAAGGGTTCGGGATGGATCTCAATCCCACAATCACGAGAATGACAATGGTTTGGTGCATCCTCATGCAGCGGCGGCATCAAGCGGCATCCACTTTAGATCATTTTGGGGGGATATCCTTTGCCACAAGTCTGTCCAGTTGCTCCCTTGCTCTTCGGGGTCCACTTACCAATGTTTTTTTGGGAGTGGCAAGTGTGAAACGGCCTCTGTTACGCACAAACTTCTGAGCTTGGCACTCGCTTCGACTGGTAGACCCCTTGGCCCCTTAGCATCCTTACAGAGCCCCTTGGTTTGAGGAGAAATCACCGAATCAAGAGTTTGGTATGGTTTCTTTTGAAGGGAATTTGTTCAGGAGAAAGAGATGAGATGGGCTTCGTACTAATAAATGATATTTGCTACTTGCCAATGAATGAGATGGGCTACTTAATGAGATGGGTCATTTAGGCATACCTTGAAGTTCTTTCTTAATGAGATGACTCTTTCCCCAGGCCCGGTGCATGTGGCTGCTCAACAGGGCGATGTGGGCCTCTTGCGCTCGATGTGCGCGGAGAGCTTGCGGCAGGCCGTTTGGGCGGTTTTCCTTTGGATCATCGCCCACTCAATTATACAAATGTATAGACTATGTAACAATGTAGATCTATATCTAGGGGCCCTTGATTAAGCTTGACATGCACTATTGAGTTGGGTATGGACACCATCAACGCTACAACGCCAACCATCACATCAGTCTCCTCCCTGTCCGGCGGGGACGCACCACGGCCGTGCCAGACATTCCGGGGCACCACGGCCTTGCACCTGGCGGCTGCCAGCAACCAGCTACGGGCCATGGACGTCCTGTCGCAGGTGCGTTTGAGCCAAGTCTGTTGCTGTTGGTTATTGCCTTGTGTGGAATGAGTGTGCAGTATTGGAGAATCCAAGCCAACAATTATTGGAAGATGGTTTTGTTTTTAGATTGCCCGGCAAAAGTAGAACTATATATACAGTATCTATTCGATGATTTGGCAAATCCCCAGCAATTCACAGTGGGAATTTTGAATTCTTTGACGACTAGTGACCCAACATATCCACTCATGCGTTCTAGTAGCCAGTTGCCAGGTTTCGCATTTTTTCGGAAACTGAGTCCGTACGGTGTACCACTCCCTCCAGGCCTTCCAGGATGTGGACGCGAGGGACGCGCGGCAGCGGACGCCGTTGATGCACGCGGTGGCGGCTCGGGCACCCGAGGCAGTGGTTTGGCTGGCCAAGAGGAGGGCAGAGCTCGGGACGCTTGGTCAAGATCAGGGCCCCAGGAGATGGTGGAGGTGATGAGATGGGAAGATTTTATCCTCTCATTGGGTATGCTTTGGTAGACATGGGATTTGGGGATATTTGGGGGGGTTGTCAACTCGGTCGTGCTCTTGCCTCTTGAGTCTTGGGCTGAACTAGCTTGACCAAATATCCGTTGCTTGCCCGTTGCTTGGACCTTTTCTTGGTTTTGGATGTCTTGGCCCTTCCATGCCCTTCCCCAACGGTCCATGCTCTGCTCAGGGCAGTCGACTCGGATGGCCTCAGCCCGCTGCATTTGGCGGCCACCACCAGCGGCGGCTCAGGCGCTGCAGCGAGCGGCGCGTCGATGGCAGCGCTGCTGGCGACGCTGGGCGCTCCGGTGGAGCTGAAGGACGCTGAAGGGAGGACGGCACTAGGCGGTCACGGGCCAAGGGCCTGGAGGATGGGTGAAGATGGTTTCGGTGAATTGGAGGGTGGTTGAGTCACTTCGAAGAAGTTTGTGAAAGAAAGCACGTTCAGGGAACGGACACTTAAACACTTAGCTATAACCATCTAACCACCCCCCCCAACAGCAAAAGGACGAACTCCTCACAGTCTGTCTGGCCTCATCTCCATCTGGTCGCAGGTGCTGCCGTGGATGCGAACCGCTTGGAAGTGGTCGAGCAACTTGGCGCCGAGGGTTCACCCCGCCATAGGCCAGCACCGCTCTTTGACACCTGGCAGGGTGTTCGTGCGGGAACCACACGGAAACCCTTGGTGTGAGTAGAAACCATAGGATCATAGGTGTGGGTGTTTTCGAGACGTTTGCAAGTGATGCTGCCACCGTGCTGTTTGCTGAAACCTTCCAAACTTGGGATTTGGGAAGGTTTCCGTATTCTCGTTCGCACATTATCCAGAACACTGCGGGTGCATACATCTGTATATAATTACTTTCCTTGGTGCCCTGCACCATCTATTCTCAACTTGCAATAAATACAACAATTCTGCAATCTCTTTGAAGCAACAAGCAGAACATCTCAGCTGATCCACGTGTCCAGACCCGCAAGTCGCGCTATCCTGGCACCTAGACCCGCTCAAACACTTGGCTCAACATCACTCCTCAACCGTCGTCGGCTTCAAGCAGCACATCTCAACCAATGAATATTTTTCAGCAACGAAACATCGCAGAATACCCGCGTAAGACGTTGGCTCAATTGGTTTTTCTTCCCTATACAGACACCATCAAAGGTCTCTTCCTGCACGCCAATCAAAGGCCATCCAAAAGTCGCTACAACTCCTGGTAGCTGCCGCGCGCCAAAACGAGGCAGCTGGTGCTCTCGGATGCCTTGCTGGGCAGTACCCACCCCGCTGAGATCAAGCGTGAGGCGCTCTTGCGCACTGGCGGCGGCGGCGGCGGCTGGGTACGGCGATGTTTGGAGCATCAGGCGACCGATGGGGCGGCGAGCAGGGACCGACGATCGGGCCGAGCCTGGGAGGCCTGAAGCGTTTTGGTGTTCCAATTTTTCGTAGATGTCCTGTGCTTTTTTTGGTGAAACCTGAGAGGAGAATGGTGAACAAGAATCGTTAAGGGAATGGATGCAAGTAACAAATGAGAAAATATGGCCAGTGGAAGGAAGTTGTATAATGTGTATATATATATATATTATATCTCATATATAAGCTGTGTGTTAGTATATATATATATATATAGTCAACGGAGCTGGAGATATTCAGTGCTGTCCTCGGGGTTGTTTTTGCTGGTCAAATCCACCATGTCCAACCTGCCGATTTTGTAGGTGGGCTGCCACCAGCTCCTGCCAGGCCAGTTTGGCTTCTTCAGTGCCTGGCATTGTACATCGTGTCTTTTCTTTTTTCTAGAGGCTGTTTTTGGGAAGGTACTTGGAGGCTGTCTTCCGAATGGAAACCGAGGATTGGAGCATAGTATACCTCAGAATTTAAGCGGACTGTGAACAGCCGGTGACGCTGGTTGATCAGCCGAGGTTGTGGACCTCCACAACCTTGTGGTTGCGGGCCCGAGCAGGTGCAGGCGCACGCGAGGGCGCACGCGCAGAGCTGGCGCCATGCGATTTTCAGCTTTCATATGATTTCAGGAGCTAGTCCTGGTACTGATCAGTTTTTGAGCTTGGTATCCAGCAAAATGTTCTCAGTTGAACCGTCTTGTGACTTGAAGACGTTTGAAGCAGAGGGAGGCCTTTTGTGCCCCTGTTCATCATAGCTGTCATCCCCATGCTAGGACGCCAATTGACGGTTTTCCCTGTGATTTGTTGTTTAGAGTCTAGAAGCCTTGAGGCCTTGCAAAGGCTTTCTGAGCTGGTTGGCCAAAGCAGTGTCAAATGAAACACATCAATCTGCAGCATCTGGCAGTGCTTCCTCAATCCTTTCCAGCTCTTCCCCCGTTTACGCCGCCGAGTTGGACTCTTCTTTGAAACCGACACGTCTCGCAAGCTCGGCCAACGCCGAACGCAGCGCTTCGTGGCAGACCCATCCACGGGAGCTCTCGCTGCTGTCGGGCGTCTTGGCGCTGCTGGGTGCCTGGAGGCTGCTGAAGCTGGATCTGGAAGGTGCGTGGATCATGGAGGCTGCAGGAAGTCATTGTAGAAGACCCGCATGACATGTGACAGACTAGGAGGTGGGTGGGTCGCACAGCCAGCAAGTTGGGGACTGGATCAGAAGAGAGTTTCTCTCTACGGTTTTGTGGCTTGGGCGGGGCCCCAGCCAAGAAACTTGCCCTGGTCGCCAGATCGGCTCAAACAAGGACAGGATTGATGTCCAGGGGTGGAACACATTCACCTGCTGGTTGACCCCCAGGACCTGCAACAGGCCTTGACCGGACCTCAAAGGGGTTGGAGTTTGTAAGTTAGTCTCCTTGGCCGGAGGGGACAGGACATGAGTTTATGGGGCGCAGTTGTGAAGGCCTGGTTCATGCACTCATGTACTTTGGCTGGGTTTGTGCCTTTGGCCCTGAGCATAGTGCCTGAATCGCGTTTCAACCTCGACGGCCAGAGAACAGTAGACCTGCCAGAGGATCATACCATTCCTCAAACGGCCTGAAAAGAGGTTCGTTACCTTCGCATGTTTAATTCCAGGTGATGCTGATGAGGTGACTGAGATCCTTTGCATTATAGCCATGGGCTGCACGCTGGCAGGCGAGGTCACCGGAGGTGTTGGTGGTAGCTGGACCCTTGTCCTTGCAAAGATGTCCCGCAAAACACTGCTATCAGAGATCGCAGCTGCTGACGTACCTTCTAAATCTCTTATTTCAGGCTAGGGAGGCTTCCTGAGATTTGCTGCTTGCTCCACAAGTCTGACGTTTGCACCTCAGTTCACTCTGGTGGTGAACAGTTGTTCTTACTCTCGAAACCACAAACTGCCAGTACAGTACGTGCCTACTTGGCCTGCCTAGCAGAAAAGGTCTTTCAACACCCACCAGTTGAGCTGCTACTGCCAAGCGGAAACTGCATCGCTCCAGAAAAATCTAGGGTTACCCAACCGCCCCAACCCCCTGAGAAGTTGACTTCCAGGTTTGCAGGCGCAGGTTTGCATTTAAATCCCTCACCCGTTAACTGCAGGGGAACCACAGTCCGGTGCGGGCCCAGACCGCCGCCGGAGAGCCCGGAGCGCCCGTCAGGCTACGTGTGCTTCTTCATGGCCGCCTGTCGTTCCGCGGCTCCGGCGCCCGGCGCAGCACCGGAGATGCCCGGCGCGGAGGAAGGTTACGAGCTGGCACTGCGGCATGCGGCCGCCACCTGGTGGAGGGTGGGTGGGGGTGGTTCAAATAAACCATTAGCACGCAAGCGTGGAACGCGGAACACTGGTCCTGATTTGTTCTACCAACATTGCGCAGTAAATTAACATGTCATTAAGACTTAATTCATTAAGATTATGGATAATTATGGTATGCAGTATATACACACATATAACTTAACCTGGGTTCTTGATCAGTCAGATTGCGTCATTTTTTGGAGCACGTGGCCACCAGTGACAGTTGGGTCCATGGTAGATGGCAGAGCAGGCAAAGAACATCGGAATTCGACCGGAACAGAAGTGCTTTTTTTGATCTATAAAGTAGACTTTGCGTTTTCCATGATTTTTCATGGATTCTATCGATTTGGGCATGTGGAACGCCCCTGCCCTGCTCAAAACGCACACGTCAAAAAGATATGTAGCTCCTCACCAATAAAAAACAGAGCGAACCGACGATGTGTCCCGTTCAGCCCCAAGGCTGTAACCTGGAACAGCCCGGAAGAGCTCTTCCAATGGTGGGGCACCAAGGCGCAGTCACGACGGCAGGGGCACGCAGTCACGACCTTTGTTTTTTTTGGTGTGGAAGGTAGTTCATGATTCAGGGATATTCAGGGGAATTTGCTGCAAGCGTTTCGTGATTTTGTGCAAATATAGCTACAAGGATTTCTTGTGCCACTAAGTGGCTAGATGGAGAGTAGAGGGCGCAGCCTGGAAAAGATCTGGATCACCGGATCCCGTTCACATGCGACATTGTCCATCGAGTTTGCACGAATTAAGAACCAACTATAGAGTATGGGTCGGGACTATAGACCACCAGCCAGCCATCATTCACATGCCACAGACCCAAATCACCTAAGTACTTCACGCATCTTGTCATCTTTTGTACACGAAAGGTGGTGTTTCAATGTGTTTCACATCATTTCCCCCAGCTTCACCCGTGAGGCGCCGATGATCCACGAGCTGAGAATGCTGGGCCCCGAGCGGTCCAAGTTCTGCTCCCTTCGCTGCACCGGAACGCCGTTCGCAAACGAGTGACCCGACGTCGTTCGCCCGTGTCGGGGTCTGGCGGGTCGGTCGGGCGTCGTCGGTCTTGGTGGCCATCGGAAATCAAGCTCCGATCTTCGGCTTGCCTTCTCCGTCTTCATCGGTTCGCTCCAGGCGACAGAAGGAAAGCATGAACTAAATATGGACCTTCCAACGTTCCTTACCTCCCCGAAGACCGGAAGATCGATCGAAGACCGATGCGCTCAGGTTCAGCGACGCGGCGCATCGTGCCTGTCTTCGACCACTACTGCGCCTTCCTGCGCCACTTGAAACTGCAAAGACGGCAGAAATGCGATGGGGTGTGGGATGGAGTACGGGGTGGCTGTTAGTGAGACTGACTGGTACCACCAGCAGAAGGATGGCTGACTTCCAGCTCTGTACTTCTTTTTTTGTCGGTTAGTCTCTCCTTCTTTTGAGTGGGCACCAGGCAGGAGAAATCGAGGTTTAACAAGCTGGGTTGTGTTCCAAGATGGTGCGGGACCTTTTCCGTCAACAGTCTTCGTTTTGAATGATGGCCATGCTCTCCGAGTCCGACCGCTGAGGAAACTCGGTGGGCCAAGGCTCCGTGGCAGGGAGGTCGGTGAAGGATGTCGACCCTTTTTCAAAAAAGAAAAGAAAGACTGCAACCACCAGGGGTCATATTTGTTTTGTTGCATGATTCGATTCGATGTCCATTAATTGTTTTTCTTGTGTACCATAGTATCACAAGGGTTTGCACGAAGTTCAGCTTCTGGGGAGGAGCGACCTAGATGAGCGCGTCTATGATGGAACAAGCATGCCGACTTATTGGGTTAAGAAAGAGTGCTAGTGATGCCGATGCAAACTGGTATCAAACTTTTCTGAGTGAGAGTTCTGAAAATTTCCTTCAAGAGCCTCAGTCAGAGGCATGAGACAACTGACATAGTCCTCACATGTCACAACATGTCCTCACCAAATAACATGTTCGATCATTTTCTTGCCAGGGCTTTGTCCGTTCGTTTGGGCGGAGGGATTTACTGTGTATCGATCGCGCGGTGGGCGATCGCTTGAATTGATCCCATCCATGAGGTTCACTGCGATCATCCACGCAGGGTGATAGGAGTGTACCCATGAGAGCACACAGGTCTGGCAGACCCACAAAAGAGGGACCATTTTCCATAGAAATAACGTGAAACAACCACAGTATAATCATGAATCCTTGGCGGGGGCCCAAAAATGGCCATCAATGGAGATACATGGAGTGGAGTTTCCATCCACGTCGGACTTTTGCTGTTCGGCCTTGGCATGTCCCATGGATTCAACAGTGAGGCCCCACTCTATTCTCCGTCAAGCAGTGAGGCAACTATGGGGCCTTCTTCGGCTGCATCTCTCTGGCAGTTTGCACGTGCATTTGTTTGGTTTGGGCTGCATGGCGCCTGGACTGTCTAGGCCTCCGACTCCGAGAAGCGGGATAGGTGGTTCGAGAAAGTCATGTGTCATCCAACACACATCCCTGTAAAGTTATACTTCAAGGTAGGGTAGAGGGCGGAATCCTGTTTGTTTGTGCCTCCCTTTACAGGCTTAAATCATGTTAAATATCTTCAATAACATTGGCTTCTGGGCCATTGGTTTCTGAGGTCCTCTCTGAGAAAAGACTGGTCGTTTGTGTCAGAAGGACCGCAGACCCACTAGTGATGAGTGGGTAGGCTCCATATTCAAGATACCCCCCCCAATGGCATATTCAAGATACCTCCCAGGCCGATGCTCCTCGCATGGCTAAGTCCCACCAGTTTGAGCTCAAACACTCCCGACGGCTTGTGTGGTCGGTGGCGATCGGCTTTGTAGACTGCGTCCGACGGCATGTGATCCCTCTGAAGCCTGCGACGGCGATCCCTCTCCCTCCGCAGTTGGACCGTTTCTGAGATTTGGGGCTTTTCTCCACACTGAAGGTTTCGATCGGGCCGAAATCAACCTCCAGTGCCTTGGGTGTGGTCCCATTTGCTATTGGGTTTTGGGGTTCTTCCTATTCACCACGCACCCAAATTGCCCCATATCTTTTCTTCACCCACTTCACTCCCTGAGAAAACACAACCATGCTGCACTTACACTCTCGCGCAGTGCTGGTGGGCTTTTATGTGGCGATGGCACTGGCACCGACAGTGCTTGTGGCCTTTCACATAGCGCTGAACTGCTTCGGGTTGACGACCTGGGAGATGCTTCAAATCAGCAAGCAGAGGTGCGACGCGGAACTGTAACTATGGGTCAAATGTTTGGAGCTACCAAAAGGGCTTGCTTAGAAGGGAAGAGGGACTCGAGTCAGTTGTTTCTTAGACCCAGATCGACGTGCTGCAGTGCCTGCCCAAGTGTTTTCTTTCTTGAATTGGTTAGAACCAGAAATGCTACAGAGGTGGTACGAGCGAGGAAGAACTCCAGTGACCTGCAGGTCATAGCATGGGGTATGGCAGAGGGTGAGTGTTTGTTTTTTTATGTTCGCCCCCGTTTTCATGTTTCCGGGTGCAGGCCGGTGCCTTACTTGCTGGACGAGCAGGGCCAATATCAGAACCCCTACGACCGAGGCTTCCTCCGCGTCTCGGGAGACGACAGACGGACCGGTGAAACGGAACGTGGACCCATCGGATTCATCGGAACTCCAGTGAGAGAATACGCCACACTGGTTCATCGCCGGGTTTACTTAAGTGCATGGCTGTCCTGAAACAGAGGACAACAAAGAACATTGCACATTTTCATGATGGCACTCGCTTCGCTATCGGAATCATGTTGAAGGTCTTTACGAAGCTTTAGGTGGGTTTACGGGTCCTGCCAGTCGAAGTTGGAATGGGGGCACTCATGCCCCACCATGCCAAGTATTGGAAAATATTTGAGGCATCTAAGCATTTCATGTGGTGATACTAATACATAATAAGTTGACAAGCATCGGAGATCTCGCCTTGCCTTACATCCTTCTTTCGAAAAAAGCAACGCACAGGCTGAAGACAGACTTGGAACCGAGGCAACTTGCTTGCCCGACTGCGGGGCGAGGACGCGGTGTCCTCGGCTTGCGAGTGAAAAGAGGCGACGGTGGCGATGGAAAGATGGAACCCAGCCCTTTTGAGCATCCCCCCCACACCCATCAATCCTTTCCTCCAAGAGAGCAAGCTTCATGTTGGGGGGACTGCCGTTGATGCACATGTTTCTGACTTTGGAACCAAGGGAAGACCATGTTCTGCAAGTTTTCGGTGTAGTGTTTGACCATTGTTTCAATCCTTTAGTGCCGGGCCTACACCTCAAGAGTTGCAGAGATGGATGAACAAACGGCCCTCCACAAGTCTTGTTGTACAAGATCCCTCCTTCGAGCTTGAAGCACTTCAAAGAACAGAGGAAAGTCTTTTGCTGGCAATTCGTACTTGTCCCGCAGTTTTTGCTGCAAGTTTCAGTCTGCAGGAACTTTTCCTATGAGGGACCAACCAGTCACCTGAGCCAACGTTTCTTCGCAGCCTGCCGCGTGGAAGATGTTGGCTGTAGAGGCACCAGAGCCGCATAGATCATGTGACCACGAAATGTCCTCACAACCACGGAATGAGCTGCACCCAGGGCACATTCAAGGCGCACCCCCAGGAGCATCTCTATACTTTTCACCTATCACCTGTCACACACCGATACATAACTGACCTCTAGTAGTCAGAGAGGACCTGTTCATCAAGCATAATATTGTGTGAAAATTTGTGAAAGGTGTTGTTGATGGACCCACTCTCCACCTCAAGTATATAAAACCATGAAGTTAGTAAAAAGTGGGACATTTAGCTGAGGAGTGGCGAGCTTGTACCTTTCCCAGTTCTACACAGTTGCAGGAATGATAGCCGCAGGTGTGGCGCTTTGCCCCACACCCAGTCGTCGACAGCAAAAGAAGTACTGGACAGCTATTCAGGGCTTGTATCATGGTGTAGAGGTCGGTAAAACAGAGTATTTGTGGGTACGTCGGTCCCTACTAACCGTCATTATCCACTATAGAATGTGGCTCATCAAAGTATTTTCTAAAAGATGTGGGAAAAAACAAAGTTAAATAAGAACGTATGCAATTATTTAACGTATTTCCCCAAACACTGGGGTTTTACGAAAAGATTCGCTTGAATCTCATCTCTTGAACACGCACTTGACCAGCGCCATGTGTCAGTCTCGGCAGAGGAGCTGGCTGTCAGTCTGGGGTGGGCGGTGCGAGTGTTCACCTTGCCAAGGCAGCATTTGTCAAAAGATTAGTCGTTTTCTGGGATCAGTTAATATGACCACAAGAAATACTACAGCACTGCTTGCATTGTGTCAATGGACCAATATACATAGTCCCCAGCCTGTTCTGGACGGTTTGGACAAAGGGGCAATTGGTCTCAGAACCACCAGATCCACCTAGGGTCGTTTTTCTCGATCTTTAGACCCCAAGGAAGACAGGCTGAAACCATTGTGCCGGAGGACGGCCTTTGTTTGGAGAGGTCCGACACCAACTGTCAGTCGTCCATCTGTTTGTTTGAAGTCTTTGTGCTGTTTGGGAGCTTTGTGCTGATTTGGAGACCAGGATCGGAACGGGAGAGAAAAGGACTGGAACGAGTCCCGTGACCCTTCCAGGCCGAACGGGCGGAACGAACTCGTTCCATGGGAACGTGACCGCGGCGTCCCGGCGACCATCCCGATGATTGGTCGTCCAAACGATGGGGTTCTGCAGGGTCTCTGCAGGGTTCTGATGGGTTCTGACGTTTGCACACGAAAGCCGCAGCCTTTCAATCTGCTCATAGGGCTGAACGGAGCTGCAAGCTGACCATCTGACATGGGGAGCGGTGCCAGCGCAGCAATTACTGCCGGTGCAATGTCTGGACCTAAAGCGGCAGGCCGTAGCAAAAGGCAGGAGAAGAGCTTCCGAAAGGGGTGCGGTCATGACCTGGAAGAGCAGCTTATCTTGGGTACTTCCGTTGCTCAGTCTTCCCAGGTTTTTGTGTTCTTCAGATCCAAAATGTGATTCATGGGCCCATGAGTCCTCAAAAAGAGGTTTAGTGAAGAGAAAGCCATAAAAGAGGGGATTGACCCGGTTGACATTAAGCTGGTTCATGATCTGATCCATTTTCATCCATTTTCTTCCTGAGGTCCATGACAGATGTTCATCCATCAAACCAATGGGACCATATGGGACCAAAGGGCTTTCCTCACCCTTGGTAAGAGCAGAGCCTTCTTTCACACTCTTCTACGTCGTTTTCGATTGGAATCCCCTCGCCCAGCAGCCGTCCTTTCAGTGCAGCCGTGAAGCACAGCTTTGCCCATGCAGGCGATTGATGAAGGTCGGTTTCCTTGAGCAAACGAAAGCCTTCCAGAAAGGCCAGTCTGAAATGCTGGGCAGTCCGAACGAACATCCCGCGGAGGCAGATAGATCACGCGCCCCAGTCAGATTGTACCTGGTACATCCCCCTTTCTTTCGAACACCACATGCTGCTAGTGCTGGACCTTGACCAATAACCTCAAATTCAAGTCCAAGATGCTCAAAGAACTCCACCTAGGTAGTACAGAAGAGTCAACAGATTTTATGTTTTTCGTGAAGGGCACGAGATGGGCTCTCTTGAAGCACCCACCCATGCAGACCGAACTCAAACGGCAGACGGAACACCTTTTCTTCAGACGTGACCAACTTACTTCTCCAAGGCCATCCCAGCCATTGATGGCTCCGTGATGGGGTGTCATGGTGCTTGGTCCAATTTCGGTTTCGACCCTCATGGCAGGACCAGGTATTCTGGCGGGACCAGGTATTCTGTCGAACGGTAGTCTATATCAAGCTAACCTGAGCACCCAAATCTCCTCCCAACCCTTTTTTGACCATCAATCTCTTTTTGTTCAAAATTTGACAAATGTTATCAATTGATATCAATTGTTTAATTTGTAAACATGTCAATTTCTCTTATTTCTGCTTCGCACTCAAGTGATTTGATCTCCCATCCTCTCCACCCACGCCTGCCATCTCGCATCGAAAAGCGTAGACCGTAGACGCCTGCGGCCTGCAACGCCGCGTCAGAGGCCAAAGAACAGCGGCCGGTGCCGTGATCTTTAGTGATCCTGTGATGCCATCCACTTCAGAGGCTGAACCAACCGAGCGCATGGCCGAAGCCGCCGAAGCCTGCCGTCTCGCTTCTAAACGCGCGACGTGAGTTGTTGAAAGGTGAAGATTTGGACGTGGAGTTTTTCGGAACAACTGGGAAGAACATTCTAAGGCCAGGCCCACTTGGGCCCAGTTTTGTTGGATAGATTTGGTCAAGGAGTCGTCGCCTTAGTATTTTTCTTCAAGCACATTGGATTTTGCATGTATCTTATTATGGCAGTGAGGGTGATATTGGGGTTTTGGCGCGGGAGCAGTGTAGAAGCCGCAGGCATACATGGACCCCATAAATCGGGCAGTTGTGCACTTGCGTTACGCACCTGTCGACGAACCTTGGTCATGAGTCGAGATCAGACAACTCACAACCACCGCTTGTAAGGGCGATGTCCTGCCACTGCTTAATTGAAGCTATGGATCGGTCCTGTCATTTTGTAGACACGATATATACCAGTTTGTGCTAAACAAAGGAACAGAAAGGAGGTCGAAAAAGCACGCGGGCCGGGTTCTTTGTTTCTGTGTCCTGCAGTTTACTTTCTTGGCGTGCATTTGGGTAAAGGATTTACCATCAGTTTGACATGCATCTTTGTCCAGCACAGCTGACCCAAGCGTACTTGGCACGCCCAGTCCTCCCTGGCAACCCTGCACCCTCTAGGTATTCTGAAGCACATGAAAAGTCTGAAGCATGATCCACCATGGGACCTTGGTGTCCAAACTGAGCGCCATGTTCATGTTCAGCCGAGCACAAGGCTTGTTGTCCAGCATTGCATGTGATCATCTGGACTCGCTCTGCGAAGCGAACCTATGCAGGAACCAAGCAAAAGTCAGGCCGAGTTGGCGGGGGAATGTTCATATCTCACCCAAAATCAATCTGAAGCCTGAAAACTGACGAGAACAGAGAACAATGATGAACAATGTTCCTTTGACTTTCCCTGTGCTTTCGAACGCTGGTGTTTTTTCAACATGACTTAAATTAAATGATTTGCCGGCACGATAGGTGAACCTAAGTATCGATCCGACTAGTCTGGTTCGGCTGTTCAAAATGGGAAGACTTGCCTCGGTGTGGATGCGTGCGCCGGTGTGTGTGTGCATTCAAAAGGCCCAACGATATGGAACCTTGACATGGGAGTGACCTCTCTGTTCTCGATGTCAATGTGCGCTTGCCTTCCAAGACCATCAAACGAAAGGTTGAGCAGGTTTTGCAGTCTAAAATCATCTAAACTCGTTAGTACAGGAATGGTTGCTCGGTAGTGGTTCTAACCCTGGTGGTTAGATTCCTAGGGTTTCTGTATGCAAGCTGCTATTGATGGAGCAGAAGTTGCATGGGAACAATGGCCACGTGTTTGATTGGTATTTGTCCCGTTTGGGCCGTTTGGGTGTGTAATAGTAACCCAGGATTTGCTAAAATCATCGTTCTTTTTTCCGGGATTCGTTTGATTGACGTTGATTCTTCTGTGAATTTACTTGTGATGTTGAAGCCCCAGCAGGCGTTGCTTTTCCACAGGTCCATGGACCTCAACCGTATGTTGGGTTGCCACGTAGTGTTCATTTTGGACAGGGAGAGTATGTGAGATAAACGGCCAGGAGCAGGTCTGCAGCATCAAGACGTCTCTCGCAACTGTCATGGAGGCAGAGTGATTTGGGACTGGGCGGACTGGTGGATTGGCGCCAGCATAGTGGAGTGACTAAGTTCGTTACTTTTTCTGGATTTGAAAACCGTGGGGTGACCATGCAATGGAGAAGTTCTGTGCAATTGAATATATATATATATATATATGTATACATAATTGAATATGTTCTTGCCACGAACTTCCTTAGTATGGATGGCTGGCTGGCTGGCTGGATGGATGGATGGATGGATTGATAGATATCGGCATGCCATTTTTATTTGGAAAGGGACACGTTTTTGGTTTGATTCCATGCGTTCTACCTGGTGTTATCTCATTGGACCTGATCTACATGCCAGCACGCTGAAGAGCGGGGCCGCTCAAACAACCTGGTCGCCTGGAGGAACCATATTTCGAACGACCTATATAACTCTCACGCAGCCTCACACTGCGGTCAGGGGGTAGAAGACGAGGAGACCTGCCTGGTGCCCCAAGCGCAACCGGCATCCGAGGAGGGTGATGCCGGCATCACGCCGTGGTGCGAAAAAGAGTGGACACAACCCCTGCTATTCGTAGAATATGTATATTAAGTCAGCTGATACTACGCTATGGCTATGGCTGTCACCTACAGTGCATCGTTCCTGCGATTAGGTTGAATCACTCACATCCTCAGCAACTCCCTATCTTTTTAAATTAATCATTCACCAAAATGAACAAAATAGCACCAGGCAGTTTTATCAACAGAAACATCCAAGTGGTGGCCCTACTCGTCCTTCAACCAGACTTGGGTTTTTGGAGGATTGGTACCCAACAGATTTTTGGGTACGGGCAGTTGCTTTGACCGGAGTCAATTCGACTCACCGACCGATGTGGGAATTGACGGTTCCTCTTGCCTCTTGGCTCTTGAAAGCTCTTGACGCTTCGGGGTTTAAGTTGTTGATTCGAAGATCAAGATCTACGAGCTTCGGGGTTTAAGTTTCCCCCAAAATCCAGTAGCCAAATCATTAGAAGCGTGAGCTGTAACGTCTAAGTAGCTTGGAGCAAACAAGTTTGTCCCTTGCTTAATTAAGTGGGCTCCTATTTTAAGTAAGGAGGCCCCGGAGGCCCCCCCCCCAGACCCCCGGGCTAAGCTCCTGACAGCTCCTGAGGCTCGGTGGATGAAGTCTCCGATGAAGCTTTCTCGGATTGGCATCACCCGTTTGCCCCCATGCACGTGGCGGATGTCACGGACACCAGCCATCACTGAGGTGATCAGTTTTTCCGGCTGGTTTTTCCATTCCACAATAACTGGAGTTTTCTCTCAAGCGATCAGTCTGAGATACAAAGGTATCCTCTTATCGTGCTGATCTTTTCCTCTCTGAAGGGCCTTTGATTGTGCGCCTTTTTCCTCAGCTAACCGGAGGAGTTGCTGGATACCTCATTTGGAGGTTTTCTGGCCATGATCAAGCCCTTCT